GCCTCTCTTTGCATAGAAAATCAGTCACGGCGCTGGTCTACTATTTATGACCTCACGTCCGGGAAAGAGTATATTCATGTACCCGGATGTTCCATAGCAAACATGTGCAGAGTGATACGATTTTCTGCATATTTTTGTTTCAAAGGCTGAAAAGTCTAATAAATCATAATTCTATGTACAATTCTTTACCTTCCCCTAGTACTTCATAGTATTAATATCAATTCCCCTTTTTAAAATTATGACATATACATGCCAACGATGTGCTATTAGTCGATATTTTCACCATGTAAATTTTGTTTTGGTGTTGAAATCGGCCCAGGCACGGAGTGAACAGTAGCTGTCTACCCATGCACAGTTCATTACCATACACTACAGCGATCTCCCGATAGTTTCTTCTTCCTTTTTCCCATGTTTTTCGCCTTCCTTGGCCCTGAAGATCCTTCATCTACCAATTCTGACACCGGTAGTCAGGAGCAAGTCTTTGTTAGTTGTTTTTCTTAGCTGGCAACGTCGCTTTCATTCTCTTGCAATTGCCGATAAACATATAACTAGCGCACATACGTTCCATCACAAGCAAGCAGCGCCTAGAGCAGCGGCTTGGTCTTACCTCCCGATTCTGCTCGCTTCACGAACGTTCATGCAAGAGCCGCATCACTCGCCAAAATATTATAGAGGAAGCGCGCTTGCATGATCTCGTTCAAGTTTGATATTTTACAGCATAAAATGTTTAACTGGTACTGTTTCCTTTTTTGAGGCAGTCACACACATCTATGATAAGTACTCTCATAGTTCTAGACCTATTCGTTTTACAAAACTGCTCCTGTACCTTATCTGATGACAATATATAATGCATCCGCCTATATTCATACATGCACGATTTAACTTTAATTCCTAAGCAGTAAACTAGTCTTAAATCTCTACCAATTGGTGAATATGAGGATATAAAAAGAAATCAGCGACTGGAAAATGTACTCCTTAACAACAACAAATCTAAGCTCTGACAGGATAGCATTTACGTAGGGATATCACTGCCATTCACTCTCACTGAGCCCATGACTCCCGTTCGTGACGTCACGGATAGAGGCCCGACTCTACGTGCACTTCCGGGTTTCAGACTTAGATATTTTGGTAGAGTTTACTCGAATAATTTCATTATTCTAAACTTGTTTTGTCGGGTGGACACCATTTGGTGTTATTATGGGGGTTAAAAGCTTTCTATTTATGTAATTATCTCAGTATTTGGGATTGTCTTAGAGTATCAACTTTAAGGAAATCTTCTCTGAACAAGGAACCCCCGAGAGACTAATGAGCGACAATGGACCTCAATACAATAGTGCCATATTCATAGAGTTTGCCAGAGACTGGAATTTCCAACATGTAACCTCCAGCCCGAGATATCCACAATCCAATGGATTTATAGAGAGGCAAGTACAAACTGTCAAGAACACCATGAAGAAAGCTAAGAGAGATAACATAGGCATCAACAAGGCATTGCAATGCCTGAGAGCCACTCCATTGGACAGCCATCTACCATCTCCAGCAGAGCTGTTACTGGGGAGGAAGATCCAAACCAACATACCAACCAGAATTCGGAACCAGTCACCCCAAAAGGATGACATCTACATGTACCAGAGACTGCAGACCAGGCAGGATGACCAGAAGAAATACTTTGACGACAAGCACGCTACCAACCTTCCCCCACTACACAAAGGACAAGAAGTCAGAATCCAGAATCAAGAGACTGGTAGATGGGACAAAGGAAAGATCACAAACAGGAGACCAGAACCAAGGTCATATGAGGTAGAGACATCATCAGGTCAAACTCTACGACGAAATCGTAGGCACATCAAACCAACCCAAGAGAGGGACAGCATGGTACAAAACCGTCAACATGCATATAGTGATAGACACAATGATGTACACGACCAGCAGAATGCACAAACAGAACAAACACAAAGCAAACCAGACACACCATCGAACCACCACCAACCATACACCACCAGATCTGGTCGTACTATTAAGAAATCAGAGAGATACAAAGTGTACAATATTGATATGGTTGGAGATAAGTCAAATAATTTTTGTCTTTTGCTTTCTTTAACAATGTTTACAAGGTTTTGAGTAGTTAGAATTAAAGAGACATATTGAATATGTCATGTTTTGTTTATTAATTAAGTTTATAGCATTATAAAGCAAGATGATAACTGAAGTCTGATCAAAACATTTTAGATAAATAAGCAAACAATTCGCATTCAAATGAAAAACAAATGTGATAGAATTTTCTAATTGTGTTTTTTGGTTAAACAAAAAAACAAACAAAAACAAACAAAACAAACGAAGAAAGGGAAGAATTTGTAAGTTCATATTAGCACAAGTTTAATGTTCTTAAGCAAAGAATTAAAAAAAAGATATTTAAACAGTATGGATCTAAATATGAAATTAAGTTTTCATTGAGAAGAGGGATTGTGATATGATATCATTTTATATCTACATGTATATATGTTCAACAAATGACCTATATCATATGCCCATGATTATTGCTACCGCAGATTGTAATGCGGCTTCACATACATCTAATAAATAGAACAAGTTGTTCTTAGTTGAGTTCTACAAAATCCAGCCTCAAGAAGACTCTTATTATAAATCATAATTAGTGTACAACACTTTACAGTACTGTTACAGTTTTGTATCACTTTTGGCTACCCATTGTTAAACCACAGATTTAGACCACAGTTTACATTAAACTGGAGTTCAGAATATGGATCAATATGTCTAAATACAGTCAAACCTGTCTTAGTGGCCACCTTTCTATAAATGCCACATGTCTATAGTGGCCATGCATTTTGTCTCCCAAGATATGTGTGGTATTTAACCCGTCTATATACAGTGGCCACATTTAGTGGTCTCAACGTCTTTATAGACAGGTAATTAACATTTATTACTGTTTATTTATTAATTTACTGATATTAGTCTTGTTTTAGTATATAGGGTGACTCCATGATCACTGGTTACTGATGAACACTAGCTGGGTCCTACAACATAAATACAAAAAGTGAAACTTATTGATGTAAATAATTAACTGAAACTAGAATTCAGAATGACTTGTACAAATTAATGAAAAAGACGTTTTAATATTTTAATATGTCAACTGCAATCGGATTTTGGGGTAACACACATTTTCCAGACATCCAGTCTGAGTGATCTTGGGTATAGTATTACATATTAAGCTAATAGTTTATGATTTTAGGCTCGAAGGTCATGCTGAACAAGATCCCGGAAAGTTTCGTTACAGTTTGTGATGATCAGATCAGCCCATCAACTAAATGCCGGAACCTTGGTGTTGTCATCGACTCGAACTTGACTCTAAATCATCATGTATCTCACACATGCAAAGCCATTAGATTCCAACTCCGCAATCTTTCGCACATCCGAAGATTCCTGACACTTAAGGTTACTGAAACCATGGTTCATTCCCTCATCTCTTCTCGCTTAGACTTTTGCAATTCTCTTCTGATACATCTTCCTGACTACCAGCTGCAATGCCTCCAACGACTCCAGAACTCCGCGGCCAGACTTGTAACGCTCACTAAAGGCACCACTCACATCTCACCCATCATTCAGGCACTGCACTGGCTTCCTGTCCGCCAACGCATCTTCAAAGTCATTCTTCTCGTCTATCAAGCACTTCACTGCACTGCACCCTCATACATACAAGACCTAGTACACCTCTACGAACCACACCCAACTTCTTTGCATCCCACGTTCACGGCACTCCTGGGGAAGGCGTTCATTTTCAAGTTCTGGCCCTGAACTGTGGAACTCACTCCCTCCTCACCTCCGTAATGAGAACTCCTACTCACAGTTCAAGTTTTTGTTAAAAACGTTTCTGTTCTCAACATATTAGTTTCTTTAATTATGCCCAGGGCTTGAATTAATCCAAGGCCACCAAGGCCATGGCCGTGGATGCCCCTTTGATTGGCCTCAATGGCCTTGGAGATTTTTTGTGCCCTTTCCAATTCTTCCTATTTGTTCTGCAATATAGGAATGTGCCCTACAGAAAAGTGGCCTTACCCTAAAAATATTGAAATATAAGGCCTGTATAATGTCTTACATTGTACTACCCTTATATAACTTGATTTACTGTAATATGCTTTGTATTGTATTGTATTATTGCAAATTATGTCCTGAAGTATGTTAAACTGTAATTTATGTGTATTTTACTTTCTTTCTTGAATTCTTGCCCACAATTATACAACTTCCACTCAACTGCACCAGGAGTGTCATTTTTGACAGACATGGCGCATTATAAATGTTCACTATTATTATTATAATAAGCTGTAGTTGTAATATAGCATTAATTGTTATTAATGAATTATATTTTCACACTTCCATGTCAAAGCAAAATATTGATAACCTCTTTGCTGTATTTTCCAACTTTTTATGGTTATAATAGCAGGAGTTAACTCACATAGGACATTTGCAATTGATTTCAATCGCAACTATGTAAATAAGAGATATAAGACTGCAAACTTGCGATTGGTTGGAGGACTTGCGATTGATTTGGACCAATCGTAACTCTTTGTAAGATGGGGTCATGGATATGATGTGGGTTTAGGGCTGTGTTAAAATAAAGTAATGTTCAGTAGATATTGACCTTGCTAAGAATATTTCTCGCAAGCAAAGTTGAGCCAAACATCCAGACTATGGAGGAAAAAACAATTAAACACCTAGAGCAATAATATCTCTTTCATGTTATGGGATACTATAAGTGCTTTGAAAAGGTACATGTATATGCAATCAAAGAGATACCGGTAGCTAGAAAATACTCCCAAAATAAGCAATTTCATCAGTAATTTGGAAGACTAGATATTTTCCAGTATTTACTAGTATTTCCTCTAAACCGGGTAGGAATCTTAGATACTTAATTTATAAAACGATCGTAAATTGCCAACCTATGTGGAAATATGATTAATTCAAATCCGATATGTTTGCTTCCCCAGATATATCAGAGAAAATCTGACAGCAATCGACTCACTGGGAAGGACATGTGATGATGCCATCCCACCCTATCTGCAGAATCGTCCATCCTATTTCATCCGTCATTGCATGAGGAAAATTGAGATTGCAGGGACGCTAACAAAGGATGATGTCATAAGAAAATCAGAGCACTGCTTCCAGGTAGCATATTACTTCTCATTTTAATTCTAATCAGTTGACCACTTAAAGGGATTGTCCACCCTGAGATCAAATTGATTTGAATCAATAAATAGAGTAAAATTAAACAATCAAAATATTGATAATTTTATCAAATTTGGATGAATTATAGAAATTTACAGCATTTTGAAGTTTGCATTGTTTCATAAAAGTGCGAACGAGGCTGTGTCCAAATGAGTGGGCAGGTGATGTCATAAACCCACCTTTTCTTTTGTATTTTATTATGTGAAATTACAAATATTTATATTTTCTATGTGTATACGTGGTTTGGGTCGATAAGCACATATGACTGATGCATACGCTTAAATGAAAATATATACGCTGCACATATACGCTTAAAACAAACCATGAAGGACTTCACTACCATATGTTAATATAAACCGTCTTTGTAAATTTGGACCATAAGTTGTCTATTCAATTAGATATGCATCAATTTTGATAGGTACATTGTATTTAGAGGAACTGGTACAGACAGAGGAATATCTAGATCAAGTACCTTATAGTATTCACATTTTACCAACAAAATATCTTATACAGGTGAAAAGTGAGACGACATGGCCAAGAACTTCATACAATGTTCATCTTCAGACTAAGAATGGCATTCCCAAGTGTGAATGCTGGGACTGGCGTTGGACTCACCTCCCTTGCAAACACATGTTTGCCGTGTTGGAGCTACTTCCAGGGACAACTTGGTCTGCTCTACCCGAGAAGTTTCGCAACTCTCCACTCTACACCTTGGACACAGAAGTTTGCGGTTTTCTTGAGGTGCCTGCCGACTAAGGTATAGACTTGGGAGACCATCAGCCCATTCAATTAGACCAGCCAGCTGATGACACGATGTTGGAGGAACTTCCAAAACGAGGCCATTTGCCCTCTGCAAAAAAGCAATTGGCCCTTAAGTGCAGGGAAAAGGTAGACCTACTGAGAGACCTAACTTACTTGAGTTCAGATGATGTACTAAACATGATGGACGACAAGTTGGGCCTGCTCCTAATAATCGTGCAAATGAAGCTCCGGAATGAAAGTGGCTTAGTTGAGGACCCACCTAAGAACACAGCATCAAAGAAAAGGAGCCGGCCATCACCCTCGAATCTTCCACTGAGGAAGAAAAAGAAGATAGCCAGAGTAGGAGCTGCTGCAGAGAGACTCCAAACAAATAAGGAGCTCATAACCAAGGCTGTAGAAAACAAATCCTCACAAGGTAAGTTGAGATTTTCTTCTCGTTATTCACACCTCCGCAAAATCTTATATGATGCAGGGACTTCTCTGGAAAGAAATTGGAGCAAGATCAAAAAATAATGTAAGATAAAATAAGGTAAGATAATATATAGACTCTATTGACCCCCTCTCAGAAAACAAAGCCACTCTACAGTACAACATTAAAGACTTCACTATTTTGTTGAGCGTTCCCCTGGGACAATTAAAAAAAAGAAATTTGCATCAAAACTCTACCACTTTAGCTTTAAGAAACTCTATAGATTCATTCTTTCCACTTCCTTCAATGTGATCGGTGCAATCAAAACATCATTTAAATCAACTGACTTGGTTAGAGAACCAACTTCAACTGTATTTCTTACACCAAATATTGTCAAAGGAATAGGCAAGCTGCTCTTGAAGAAAATTATAAAAAAAGAAAGAAGAAAAAATTGACCATCTGACCGAGCTATGCTGCCCCAAATTGTATAGAAAAAAAGCAATTTCATTTCTCGGGTCAGATTTACATAAAAATAATAATAATGAGGAGGATGATGATGATAATGATAATAACAACCCATTCTTGTATAGCGCATATCACATTATGATATATTGAATCTTGAAAATTGTATTTCTTTCTCAATAGCATTAAACTAACTTCTTTAGGAGCATGCACGCATACTGTCTATCTTGACCCGCAGGACTACACACACAAAAAGATTGAATTATGTGGATGTTATGTAACTGCTGAAATCTACCATTCATGTATTAATTGCAAAATATACTGAGCAAGAATCTGCTTGTTATTTCCTGATGGAGATCAATTTCAGGGAGATCAAATTTGCCCCCTTTTTTAATATTGTAGAGCATCATGCTAATAGTTGGCCAGCCTTTCGCCACAAAAATTTGTGTGCATGTCAAGTGAAGTGTATAGAATAATATGGTAATTTCAATTTTTGGAACAAATCACTCATTTGCATATTTATGATAATTTATGCAATTGGGATGTGCATGGTAGTCCAGAAAGAAAGACACAAGACTGAGAGCCAAGAAAGTTATACAGGAGAGCAAGGTTAGTTCAGAAATTGACAAAGAGAGAGACATGGAAGGAAGCAACTAAGATTGAAATTAATTAATGAAAGATGTGGAGAAACAGAATTATATGCATGAATATCTGCATGCCATTTCCAATGGCCACGATGTTTTCAGTGTGGTTTGCATCATTTCTCCTGTATTCCTTCTCTCCGCTCCTCTAGCTCTATGCAAAACAAACATTTAGTATCGAATAATAAACAAAATCATCAGATTTTCATCTTGGACCAAGATGAGATTGTATCAAAAGCTTCGGAGACGGTGTAACTTATAAATCGTATAGCGCGCGCACAGTTTATACACACACAGCTGTGGTGCGCTAGAGCGCGGCACAAACAATGGCAACAACATGGCGTCAAATTCTGAGTTGTCGTAACTCTTCTATAAAGGGACACTAGACTTGGGGTCTTGATGACCTGGTTATCCTCCGAAGAATATTGGTTTACCATCGGTTCTTGGCTGTCCCTTGCCAGAGACACGGCCGAGGGATGGCCCGAAGTCCCACTGGATTGGAAATTCACAGGAAGAACATGGTCGTACACTGTGTCGGTTTTCGGCAGTCCCCTGCCTGAGACACGGCCGAGGGATGACCCGGAGTCCCGCTGGAGGCCTTGACTTTCAAATTTCAATGAAAATTTCCCACTGACTTGCGTGTTGTAGGGGCAAAAATGGAAGGGGGGTTTCGTGCTCGTGAAGTATATGTAAGGGAGGGGACTCTCTCGAAGATCCACTGAGCCACTATCGGTGCCTCGCCGTCCCCTGCCCGAGACACGGCCGAGGTCTAACCTCGAGTCCTGCTGGATTGGGTTCGGATAACACTGGTCCACCATCGGTTCTCGGTTGACCCCGGCCAGAGACACGGCCTAGGGATGGCCCGAAGTCCTGCTGGATTGGAAATCCACAGGAAGAACATGGTCGTACACTGTGTCGGTTCTCGGCAGTCCCCTGCCTGAGACACGGCCGAGGATAGACTTGGGGTCTTGATGGCCTGGTTATCCTCCGAAGAATATTGGTTTACCATCGGTTCTCGGCTGTCCCCCGCCAGAGACATGGCCGAGGATAGACTTGGGGTCTTGATGACCTGGTTATCCTCCGAAGAATATTGGTTTACTGTCGGTTCTTGGCTGTCCCCTGCCAGAGACACGGCCGAGGGATGGCCCGAAGTACCGCTGGATTGGAAATCCACAGGAAGAACATGGTCGTACACTGTGTCGGTTCTCGGCAGTCCCCTGCCTGTAAAGACCACTTTTCATGTGTCCTGTGAGTGGTCTTTATATACAGGATTCACTGTATTTCTTTTAGATATAGTGAATCTGTCTACAGAGGCCTCACAACTCAAACAGAAAAGTGACCCCTACTGTGTGAGTCAAAAAAAAGTTTACACCCAGAAAATTGCTAATTATTAAAAAAAATATCTATGAATAGTAAATTATTATAAATCTTATGTAAGGGTGTTTTATCCCAAATCATTTGCGAGAGTGCAAAACTCGACTTGCGCCAAAGTGATGCCCACAGCATGTATTATGTTGGGATTAGTTTGAATGTATCAAATGAAATGCATTGCATATGCTTTTTGCAGAAGCAAAGTCACACACACACACGTGCGCACAAATGTTCGTTGATATTCGATATTTGATATGTGTGGCATGATTAACAAAGACCGAGCTAATACCGAAATCCCAATTGTTTTATTCAAACATCACATACGCAACATTGGCGCAAGTCGACTTTTGCACTCTCGTAAACAATGCCTCCTGTTCATCCAGGCGTGAACACATACCACACAAAAATGATACTAAAAGATTTGGGATAAAACACTTTTTCATAAGAGCTTATAATTTATTGTTCATAGATGATTCTTAAAATAATTAGCAATTTTCTAGGTGTAAACTTTTTATTGACTCACACTGGATAGACAGGTGGCTTTTCCAACAAATATGTTTTCCTCAAGACACATTATAAGTTATCAGAGAGCTGGCCACTTAAACATGTTTGATTCTCTTTTGACAGGACTTTTTATCAGATTATGGCATGGTGTGGGTAGGTGGTACACACGAGGAGGGTGAAGCTAGAACTTCCAAGGTATATGAGCAGTTAGATTCTGATGCTTTTATCAAAAGCCAAGGCGTATGGAGGCCAGGTATGGAAGAGACTCCTTTAATGGGTCAATCTGCCATCTTGTACTGATGGTATCTGTTAGAAACATGATACATGCACACTCGCGCTGCAGATGAATACCCTTCTTTCCCCTTCTTCTTTCTTCTTCTTCTTCTTCAAAATAATCTGCCTCCCTCACTGCTGAAGATTCTTGCAGATGTGTGCGAGTGCATGTGTGTGACGACATGGGGATGTCCAGGTGTGCAGGTGAGAGGTGTATATATATATACATAGTGCCAGTAAAAAACATTGCCAGAATTTACTTCCCCCCGGTCTTTAGTTGTCGCTGGAAGGCTTCCACTGATGGAGCCAGGACAACCTCAAGAGGTAGAGCGTTCCAATGTCGAACAGTGCGAGGAAAGAAGGAGTGAATATGTTGCTCTGTTCGTGACTGCATGATAACTGTTATCGTGATAACAGTAAGGACGAGACGATCTTGTAGTTCTTACGACTGTTGCCGGTTGGATGTAGTGGTGGATGTCAAAGTCAACCAAAGAGTAGTGCATCTTGTACAGTAAGGTGAGACGTTGATGCTCTCTTCTCTTCTGGAGGGAGGTCCATCCAAGTTGACTCAGCATGTCAGAGACGCTAGATGTATGATGATAGCGGTTGAGAACATATCTCGCTGCTGGTCTCTGGACCATCTCCAACTGGTTTACACATCTGATGGTGTGTGGATCCCAGACAGCACTCCCGTACTCAAGAAGAGGGCGAACGAGAGCCTGGTATGCAGTAGTCTTAAGCCGAGTGGAGTTGACACGCAGGTTCCTTCTAAGAAAGGCTAGGGTGTTGTTTGCCTTCTTGCAAGTGGCAGATACATGCTGTGTCCAGTTGAGGTCAGCAGTGAGAGTAATGCCAAGGTATTTGGCAGCTGACACAGACTCCAAGATTTCTCCATTGAGTGAATAATGATGGACATACTTGGTCTTCTTCCTGGAGACAGTTATGACCTGGCATTTCTTTGGATTTAGTGCCATCATTCACTTGCTTGACCACCTACAAAGCTGATCAAGATCCTGCTGTAGCAAGTCTGCATCCTCAGGTGTCTGGATGGTATGGTACAGAACCGTGTCATCGGCGAAGAGTCTGACTTTCGTTGAAAGTTGGTTTGGCAGGTCATTTATGTAGAAAAGGAAGAGGCAGGGTCCGAGTACTGACCCTTGGGGCACACCTGAATACATGGGACTGATAGTGATACTGTAATTTATTTTATTTTGAAAGTGATCTATGAATGATAACCGTGCAATTCATGTTGGCAATAGTGAAGGTGAGGTGATGATGATTGGATCACTGAAGAAAAGGAATTAAAAGGATCATAAATATTTGTACAATCTTTGCACATATAAATAAAGACTGATATATCCAAACATCAATTAAGTTAATAAAGCTAAATGCCTACATCAAATTAACTGTATCCACTTCAAGCTCAACATATACTAATAGTATTACTATCATTGATGAATCAACAGATAAACAAATCTAGAAGTTTCTGACAGTGCGGTTTCTATGCTCTGTTCTGAAACTGAAATCAAATCAAAATACTACTTTAACTTTTTGAAATGTGTAGTGTAACCTCATTATAACAAACTCACTAAGACTAAGGAAACTTCCCCGCTAAATACGAATACTAATCTAACATCACCAAAATAACATCTCGTTAATCAAATGTAAGATTAAACCCCTAGTCCTTTGTTTACATCATAACTCACAAACTTCCATTTATAGAGCAAACATTTCCAGTTTATAAGCTTACTCTGTTTTGTTCATTCATGTATTTACTAACTCAACTTTCTCAATTAAAGGCCCACTGCACTACTTGTAGCTACTTGCGCCCTCTATATAACAAACAATGCCTAATCGGTGACCATTGGTCCCTCATGATCCTCTTTTTCTTATGTTAACTGAGAGCTGGGTTGATGAGATAACCACCTGTCCAGTGACCTTGCAGGGCTGTATAATCCCTCCTGTAAACTATGGCAGATAAGCTTTAAACTATCACTCTAAATGGCCAACAAGAAGCCCCAGCTTAAATCATGTATTAAACCACCTGAATACATGGTATCAAACATATCTACATAGATGAAGCGATATTTAACATCGCGTCTGTATGTTATGCATTGTCATTTCTAAAAAGCAATAAGACTTCCAATGTAACTCATACAACGTAGACCCTATCACTATACAGTTTTGTGCATAGCAATTTATACACTGTAGTCCGTACATTTTACCTCAACAACCTGACCAAAACACATTCTTAAATCACCACAAATGAAAAACATGATGTTTTAAAGATAAACTTACTTCTGTGGCGACATTTCCTGGCTAACTAAAACAACATAGTAAGACTTTCGTCTCCTGAACGTCCTTTCCTAACGAAAGAAACATGGCATCTGCTGACACGTTGCTCTGATTAGCATTAGCATAAATTCCATACGCGCTATGCTAGACGTAAAATAAGCTACGGTGTCTTCTGAACTAAAAGGAAAATAATTCAGCTAACTCCTGGTTTGTCAACAAACCAATGATGATGTGGTGTTGTTGATGATGATGACAATGATGAGGAGGATAATGCTAATAGTGATGATGTTTTTTTTCTCATATCAATTATGACGACGATGGTGATGATGATTATATGATGGTGATGTTGATGATGGCAATAATGTGATGTTGATTATTGTCATTGTGACGATAGTGATGTTTATGTTCATAGTGATAATGATAGTAAATATGTGTGTGCAAAATCAAAACAATATTTATGAATACCATTGATAATTATGATGCATGTAATTATATTTTGATGTAGAAGATGGTGATGAAAAGGTTGAATATAAAAATTGTAAAGTTGTGTCCTCTGAAGTCACTGTCTTACGATAGTATACCTATAGCATTTGAAATAATACTTGTTGTTTGTAGAGTAGTGTCCCTCCCTTCTTACGCCTCTCTCTCTCTCCTCAGGGTCATCAGAGAATTGCATTCCAAAATTTGACCTGGTGCTGAAGAACATCTAGGAACTGAACATCGTTGCTAGAGAAGGAGAGAAGAAGATTCAGCACACTGTGAGTGGAGCACGTTTCAAGACGGTCGATAGCATTCCCCTCATCCTGTACGCAAACGGGATCTTCATGTTCAACGGACCATTCCGTTCGTACGACGAACCAGAAACACAGGTAACAATATCTATTTTAAAGGAAGCATGATGACTCAGTGGTATAGAGCAGTGCAGGGGAAGCTCTGGGTTTGAAACCATGCCATTATTCCGTCCATTAAGCCTTAATTGTTATCAACCACAATAATCTGTCATAATACCATTCTATTCCAAAGCTTCCAGATACTAAATGATGAGCGATGATGAATTATTACAAGAAGGGCGATCTTGAATATATAAAACTTTACTTGTATATTTTGGTGTGTTTTTTTTTTAATTGTGGTGCATTTGAACTATCCAAATATCAACATTTTTTTTTTTTTTTTAAATCAACAAAAGTCCAGAGGCAAGTGTCAGTAATAGAAGTTGTAATCTTTTTCTGGCCAACTTGTGAAATAAAGCTATCGACAAGGGCCTTGACTTGAAAGAGGTATTTTTTTCAATTTTGATCACCTGATGATTATTATGCCTATCTCTTTTTTCTGGTCATAGCAATGCATGCAAGATCTTACAGGTGGTTATTTCCCAACTGAGCTGCAGTCTAGATATCCTGATGGTGTCCCAATCAAGGTGAGCCCTTTCTCTTTTGTATCGTTCCAAAGTGAAGCTTTGTATATCTGTGTCTGCAGTGACTTGGAGCGCTGTGGTATATATTGGTAAAAGGCTCTTGACTCTCGTATGAGAGGTCCCTGGTTTGATCCTTGCATACATGGTGCTTACATCCTTGGACAAGATGTTTTGCCCACATTTGTCTCTCTTGACCCAGGTGTTTTAAAAGGGTACGTATAGCAAAGCTGGGTCAATATGAGTGCAGGGCCTGCAAAAAAGCAATAATAATTATATAGCTACCCTGGGTAAATAGAACATGCATCATGTCATTTTTCAATATCTGTATAACCTTGGGGAGCATACCAATATGCAAAAGGATGTTTAACTTAATGATCATGATCATCATCATTACCATTGTCACCATCCTCATTATCATCATCGCCATCCTCATCAACATCATCATCATCATCATCAACACCATCACCATCAAAACCTTCCTCATCATCATCATCAAAACCATCATTACCACCACCAGCACCTTCATCATCATCAATACCATCACTATCATCATCATCATTATCATCTTCACCAACCTCATCATCATCGTTATAATCACCACCATCACCATCAACATCATCACCAACATCATCATCACCATCCTCATCATCGTTACCATCATCACCACCACCATCATCATCGTCACCATCATCATCATCATCATCATCATCACCATCAACACCATCATCATCATCATCATCACCAATATCATCCCCTTCCTCATCACCATCATCATCATCAACAACACCATCACCATCATCATCGTCATCATCATCATCATCATCACTATCATCATCATCATCATCACCATCATCATCATCACCATCACCATCATCATCATCACCATCATCAACAACACCATCACCATCATCATCGTCATCATCATCATCATCATCACTATCATCATCATCACCATCATCATCATCACCATCACCATCATCATCATCACCATCATCAACAACACCATCACCATCATCATCGTCATCATCATCATCATCATCATCACCATCATCATCATCATCACCAATATCATCCCCTTCCTCATCACCATCATCATCATCAACAACACCATCACCATCATCATCGTCATCATCATCATCATCATCATCACCAATATCATCCCCTTCCTCATCACCATCATCATCATCAACAACACCATCACCATCATCGTCGTCATCATCATCATCATCATCATCACCAATATCATCCCCTTCCTCATCACCATCATCATCATCAACAACACCATCACCATCATCATCATCATCACCAATATCATCCCCTTCCTCATCACTAACATCATCATCATCATCATCACTATCATCATCAAAACTATCATTGCCGCCACCAGCACCATCAATATCATCATCACCATTATCATCTTCACCAACCTCATCATCATCGTTATAATCACCACCACCACCACCACCACCATCAACATCAACATCAACATCATCACCAACATCATCATCACCAACATCATCATCACCATCCTCATCATCGTTACCATCACCACCACCACCATCATCATCGTCACCATCATCATCATCATCATCATCATCATCATCATCAAACATCTTTGTTCTCCTTCCTGTCACGCATCCCACACAGAGCGAAATGTCTTTACTATTAATTGCACGATCACTAAAAATACACCTGGTGAATGAGTGAATGAAAGGACTGTCTCCATTTTGAGCTTTGAGGATGAGTTATTTTCTCAGCGGATCAGACGAAGGACACGGAAGCAGTTCAGGCAGTGGACTAGGTCAGGTGTCGTGTTGGGTTCAGGATTGAAGATAAACAAAATTGGTGAATGTGGGATGTTGAAATCGGAGCATGCATCATACAACCATAAGACTTCATTTAGGGGCATTGCCCTCAAGGTACACTAAATGCATGGTTATATTTTGTATTCTTAAATCTCTTATTCCCTCATTTTCAAGGTGGATGATCAGAGAGATGTGGCTTTTAAAGACCAAAGTAACCGGGAGTTCTTCCCTGGTACTGGCCTAGCCGTTGGTGGGTGCAATGATGGGCCATCGAGACTGGTACCCTCTAACCTGGATAAGGCCACCAGTATGGCAAGCAGTGGACCACCTGTCAGTCAGGAGCATGGACCACTCAAGTTAAGAGAAACAACCAAGCCCCCAGTTTAGTAATAATCAATATTATTTCACAGGAATTTGAGTTCTGTATGATCAGAGTATTTAACTGATAATTTTGTATATGTACCTCCAATGAATTTTAATTTCTTCACAGTCGTGTAACATGATCAATATATTTTCTGATAAGGGCCAGCAAAGTGCTGAATGAATTCCATATAGATAATGCTCTTTCACATCTTAGCAGCCAATCTATAACATTCATAATGATCTAAAGAATCATTTTTTAAAAATAATTCCATTAATGCTGCAAATACCATCAAACCTGTCTTAGTGGCCACCTTTCTATCTAGGCCACCTGTCTACAGTGGTCACTTTCTCTTTTTCCCTTGGGTGGCCTCACGTTTCACTGTATATTTATTTATAAATATCTTTACTTGCCTGAAGTTCATAGTGCAAATATAATCAAACCTGTCTCAGTGGCCAACTCTCTATAAAGACCACCTGTTTGTAATGACTTTGTACTTAACAAAACTATTATTATTATTTTTTTTTTTAATTAGTGAACATATTATATGACCACTTTTTACACTGTAAACAAAAAGTACTTGGACTACTATTTGCATGTTTTTATAAACCATATTGAATTAGCTCTCATGCTATTTTTTGGCCGGTTCTCCCTTTAACAACATTTTAAGTTTTTAAGTTTAAAATATCCTTTATTTGAATCACATCCTCTGTGAATTTCAAATCTAGCCACACTTTTATGTATCTTTAAGGAATCCAACCAGATCTCTACGTAACAATAAACCTGTGAATTAGCCATAACTTAATAAAGTTATGGCTAATTCACAGGTTTGATATGACATGATATACAACATCAACTGTTTAATTGTTGTTACTTTAGATCTGAGGATACATCTTGATAAACAGAGGTAGATTTACATAATATCCAAATTAATAACATTTTGATTGAGCATGTTTTGATTGTGACCTTGTATGATGTAGAATATGATTTAGCTAACAAAGACTGGGGTTGAGGTAGAAAGGTATTAAAGCCCCACTGCACTACTGATAGCTACTTGTGCCCTCTATAGGGTAAAAAATACCTATAAATCGGTGCCTGTTTGTCCCCCATGATCCCCTTTTTCTTATGTTAAATGAGAGCTGATTTGATGAGATAACCACCTGTCAGTGACCTTGCAGGGAGGTCTAATCTCCCTGGCCAAACTAGTACAGTCGACAGGCCTTGAAGGAGATTTTTGTAATTTAAAAGTTTGAGTGTTATCTATTGTTAGAGTAAGCTTCACAATGCATGTGTATTTCATTTACAGAACGTGGGTTTAAGGGAGCCAACCACTGATTAGGATTACATTTTTTTCATTATTTGCATATTTTTTGTCATTTGATAGGGTGGGGGGGGGGGGGAGTAAAGGCTCATTCAGATATGAAGCAAGAAACAGCTCCCCTCCAAAAAACCCTGCTATTATTATTTTATGTGTAAATTAATGGCAACTGCATACAACAAAGGTCCTACACAAATTCATTGAGCTCTGTGCTATAACATACAGAATTGTGTATGTCATCAGCTAGCTAGGAGATAACAAAATTATTTTTTTTTTTTTGGGGGGGGGGGGGGCTGCTTCATATCTGAATGAGACTTTAGCGCATTATTGCATGTGTTGTTCATGTGTATGTGCTTTGACCCAATTGGTTACTGAATTACGGAGTAAGATTAGATAAAAAAAGTGTATACCAGCACTGTAAATTCCCTCCATAATGTTGTTGTTACAGGAAACCACATTCCCCTGACTACATTCTGGTGACGACATTCCCTAATAGGACATACACCGATCTGGAGTCAACTCTGGAAGCGAGTGGATTAACACCAAATGCTACTGTTCTGATGAAATTAAAGATCAGATAACACCAAACACATCTTGCTTGTCTTCATCCATTTTGTCACTGACAATGACAAAATTGACACTGGAAGGGAATGAATTAACACCAAATGCTACTGTTCTGATGAGATTGAAGATGAGATAACACCAAACACATCTTGCTTGTCTTCATCCATTTTGTAACTGACAATGAAAGAATTGACACTGGAAGGGAATGGATTAACACCAAATGCTACTATTCTGATGAAATTGAAGAATGAATAGTGTTAATCTCCATCATGTTTTTTTGTAATGTCTTTTGTAGATGACAGTGAATGATATAGACATTGCCATGTTAAAGCAACACAGATTTCAGAATTCAGCACTAAAGGCGAATGCATGATTAACTTTTTAAAATGTCTCCAATTTTTGATGAAGTTCAAGAATAGAAAGCGTCAACCATCATGTCTTTAAATCGTTTGCAATACGTTCCAAATTCTGATCCTCGTCTGTTCTGAATTGGACAATGAAAGTGGATAGATTACATGGAGTAATTAATACTGCTACATGTAATGTACAGCACCTAGCTGTATTGCATCATCAGTCTATTGGGTAGTTAATGTTTTTGATTGGTGCAGATGGATATTGAAATGATAAATGCTAGTGCCATCATTTTGGTAGCTTTTCCTGCTTAACCTGGACAATGAATACATGTGTAAACAATACATTCTTTATGAACATGAACGGATCTGAATTCAGCTATGGAAGAGAATGGCTCAATGGCAAATATCATATTTATCTATCCATTCATTGTCTGTCTATCTATTTCTTTATCCATCCATCCATCCATTGACCTATCTATCTCTCTACCATGGTATCTTCTCCCTTCTTGGAGATTAATTGTAACATTTATCCACACTCCTTTGCAATTCCAATTCTATCGACGTATGTCAAAATGTTTTTTTTTTTCTTCTTTGTATAACGTCATGGTTTTTTTCCCAATTGCTTCTTGTCTTCCCTCCTTATCTAGTACCTCCCATCTCCCAAGTCTTTCAAATAGGACAAGTATTTTGTCTATATTTTATTAACTAGTCTCTTGTAGTTGTTTAGCTGTCAGGATATTTTTTGAAATCCTGCCCTAAAATTATGCAGGCAGAGGGTGTGTTGTCACATAATATTTAATAAATCTGGAGTTACATAGCGCTTAAAGGTATAGACCAGTTCTGGTCATGCAATTGCATTGTGAAAGAAACGTTGTGGAATCAATCAGAAAAGGTTGATCATCTAGCATATAAGTATTGGTGTGTACTGCAAGGTTCTGGAATCATCAAAATGATAAGAAATTTGGCCCAGTCTTGGTAAAATTACAAGCACTGTACACAGAAAGATGTATATGGGACTACGAGATATCTATCCATTCCGGATAGATATAATAATTTACCAAATATATCAATTAGTAGGCGGTTTCCCAGCAAAATTTGTATCATCACGTATTAGTCAAACCATATTCTTTCACATGATTGGTAGTAAGAGCTTTCATTTCATTTTTTGAGATGGGGGCGTTTCCAAAACTGGTCTATACCTTTAAAACGAAATACTGTCTGTAAGAAGTGCTCTCCAGATATTACTGTATAATTAGGACACACACTAAAAATAAATTCTCCATACTTGCCATCCCTCACTATAGATGCGAATCAATATAAAATAGTTCATGTCAAGAAAATATGAAATATATTGGTGAATGATGAAAGTGTTAAAGATGATAAATACATTGTGAGCCTGGCAAGTGATTCATATTTACTGAGTACGACCTCTATATGACCAATTCATTCCAATTTATTTCATTATAACTTTCATCATATTCATGATGTTACAGAATTAAGATACTTGCTACAAAGATAAAGAAGTTGACAAGTGGATTATGCTATCTTAGTTGGAGCTTAGATATGAACTAAGAGTTCACTTTAATGTTCCTTTCATATACAGTACATTTCTTTTCCTTTATAAATCATATGACAAACAATGTGTGGGCTCTTTGAATAATTATATATGAGGTCAGAAGAATAAATCCACTGAAAAGGATGAAACTATTAAAATGCCCTGGAATGTGAAATATGACAATAAATAACTGCAAAGTTTAGGCCAATCTTTCATATGCCACATGTTTATTGTATATAATATAGTCCTATTTGTTCATATCTGTGTGCAGTGTATGTGTTTTCCAGCAAGATTCAGCCAATATTCTATTATCTTGATCCAGTGGCGGATCCAGGGGGTAAGATATCGAAGGTATCATATGCTCATCTGACCGTAAGTAAATGCGTAAAACCCCTTGGCTTCCGGTGGCTCTGCCCCCTAGACCCCACCTAGGGCCCTAAAGCGGAAAGCTGGATGCTAATCTGACGGTAATTTAATGATTAAAACCCCTGAGCTTCTGGGGTCTCGGCCCCCTGGATCTCACACCAATTAGGTTCCTGCCAGTGTCACAAAAAAAGTATCGTAATATGTTCATCTGACCGTAATTAAATGCCTAAAAACCCTAGGTTTCCGGGGCTCCACCCCTCGACCCCACCAGGGGGCCTAAGGCGGGCCCCTGCATGCTTGTCTGACAGTAATTTATTGCCAAAAACCCCTGAGCTTCAGAGGGCTCCGCCCCCTGGACCCCACGCCAATTCGTGACCTGCCAGTGTCACAACTAAGGTATAAAATCATGCTCATCTGACAGTTATTTATTGCCCGAAACCCCTGAACTTCCGGGAGCTCCTCCCCTTGGACCCCACGCCAATTCCCGACCTACCAGTGTCACCAAAAACGGTATAAAAGCATGCTCATCTGACGGTTATTTATTGCCCAAAACCCCTGAGCGTCCAGGGGCTCTGCCCCCTGGACCCCACGCCATTTCGTGACCTGGCAGTGTCGCAACTTAGGTATAAAATCATGCTCATCTGACAATAATTTATTGCCCAAAACCCCTGAACGTCCGGGGGCTCCGCCCCGTGGTACCCAAGCCAATTCGTGTCCTACCAGTGTCACAAATAAGGTATACAATATGTTCATCTGACGATAATTTAATGTATAAAACCCCCGAGCTTCTTAAGGCTCCGCACCCTGGACCCAACACCAATTTGTGTCCTGCCATTGTCACAAATAGATATAAACATATGCTCATCTGACCGTTATTTATTGCCCAAAACCCATTGGCTTCTTGGGGCTCCGCACCCTGAACCCCACGCCAGTTCGCGACCTACCATTGTTACAAAAAAAGGTATAAAACCTAAGACCCCAAGAAACCGCCAAAAACATATCACATACAACTCAATTTCTATTGAACCTAAGACCACATGAAACAGCCAAAAACATATCACATACAACTCAATTCCTATTGAACCTAAGACCCCATGAAACAGCCAAAAACATATCACATACAACTCAATTCCTATTGAACCTAAGACCCCATAAAACGGCCAAAAACATATCACATACAACTCAATTCCTATTGAACCTAAGACCCCATGAAACAGCCAAAAACATATCACATACAACTCAATTCCTATTGAACCTAAGACCCCATAAAACGGCCAAATACATCTCACATACAACTCTATTCCTATTGGACCTAAGACCCCATAGAACAGCAAAAAAAATATCACATACAACTCAATTCTTATTATTGAACCTAAGACCCCATGAAACAGCCAAAAACATATCACATACAAAAAATTTTCATCACATTTTATATTTGTAAGCATTTTTATTGTCATACATAAGCCTACATAAATAAAGATATTAAATCAAACATTTATAAGTAAACATTCTACCACAATATTACACAAAACATATATTTGCCATCAAGTACAGCAAAACAAATAAAACCCACCAATGTATGTATAAATATAGATATATATACAGTGCGTCCAAGAAAAAATGAAACCGAGAATTATTGATGTTTTATCATAACTTAATCACAATTATAATTGATAAATGACACATATTTGTAAAGCTTAGATCCTCCTCTGTCAGTTGATGCAACTCATATAATGCATATTTCATGCATGAGTGATTAACATGAATTTGAAGAGAGGAAACCCAAAAGTCATTTGGCGGATGGTATCTGAATTTCAAAGTGGAAATCATATTTCTAGAAAGTTAAATTTCTGCTCTTTCATATGACACCTCAATCAGGAAAAATGAGCTAGGAATAACAAAGTTCTGTTTGTTTAAAATTGTGCTTGCATTTCCATAATTTCATCAAACGAATTCGTTTTCACTGGCTGCCTGCCATAGCAAAAAGCAGAATTGAGAAAAGATTGAACTCCGTTTCGTTGACAATCAGCCGTAGACTTCATCTTTCCGAATATGTGTCATTTATTATTTATAAATGTGACTAAGTTATGATAAAACATCAACATTTCTCGGTTTCATTTTTTCCGGGACGCACTGGATAATAAATCCAGAACAAATCTGGAGTATATTAAGGATATTCTTGAAATAGGGTGGCAACAAAATTAGAGAATATATACGGAGGAAATGGACATTTGATTTTATGCAAATAAGTGCACATGAAAGCAAAAATTTACAATTTATTGCTTTCTTCTAAAGTTTTTATAAGCAGGTCTCATATACTTTAAGTATATGAGAACTGATTTGTCCCGATTTCTGTTTCTTGATTATGTAACATATTAGAATTTACAACTAAAAAAGTATTCAACATAAACAGTTTTCAATAAAAAAAAAAAATTAAAAAAAAAAAAATCAAATTTACAAGGAGTATGAATAAATCAGTTTTTAACTATATATAATTATTCATACTAATACATGTATGTATTCTTTCCTAGTTACGTAAGATGACACCAAAACCATCGATTTTTATTATTTAAAAGCACTTGGTTTGCATGGGGGGGGGGGGGGAGGGCTATTTTTGCGAGACAATGTCATTTTAAATATTTGCTACACTGCACTTTTGCAACCGCTGTCATGCTAACCAACTGAGAAATTTTCGCCTTAAAATAAAAAACATTGCATTATGAATGACCCGATGTCTTTCATGTTGTCTTCATATTCAAGCGAGAGCAGTCATGCGTTTGCCAACACAGATGATTGTATATGGGAAGCCGTTAGGCGCAAATTTCTTGATACTTCAAGCACGATTACAGTTGCAAGAGTAACAGCATTGCCCCACAAAAAGAGCCCTAGAAACAAAACACTTTACCCAATTTGCTTTGTCATTTATGAAGATACTTGGAAATATGATTGATAACCGGTATATTTTTATAAATAAAAGGGTCAAAAACTAACATACGTGTACACCCACCATAATTTGTGATGTCTCTGCCATTATTTCTTTTGGTAAAACATCATGTACATGTAGCTACTTGTAGACCCCTCCTGCAGTATACCTACTATATAGTCCTATATAATAATGACAACGTTCAGTTCCAAAACATACTACATTTATTAATGCTGAGAAAAAAACTTTAATTTTTAAATTCTAGTTTGCATTTATGATAGTGAAATGAAACTTGGTCATACATGTATTATACTCTATTAATGGGATAATAAAATCACTGTCACTAAATATCCCACCGTGTTTTACTTTGAAAAGTCTATGGGTGTATGGATGTGAAGTATTCAATCGAAACTCTCCCACTTTGCACACAGAACAGCAAACTGCCTTTAAAGCCTCATTAAGATATGAAGCAGTAAACCGTGGAGTGTTTTATTTAAAAAATATATATATATATATATATATATATATATATATACATTTGTTAATGACGTATTAAGTTTAATACGCTTTTATCTTACTTAATCTCATAACACTGAGCTAAGTGAATACGGTACACATACATGTAGTACCTTGGTGTGCATAGTAGCCATTTCATTTACATGTTATAAAAAACGCTGGGGTTTACTGCTTCATTTCTTAACAAGCCTTTATTGTGTGGGACATTTAGGTACACTGTATATGCATCATGCCATTTGGTGACTGGTCAATTCGTAGAGAAGGCCCTTGTTTAATGGACGTACGTAGCACACTCTGGAACTTAACTGAAAAAGATGTAGCATGTTTTGGAATGTGAAAACTTTTAACCCCATTTTTACAGTATATATGTACTGTACAATCCAATCAAATCACAAGGGAAAACTAGAAATAGGAATGGAATGAAAAAAGAAATTGTTTTAAGGCACAAGAAATGACAGATTTCAAAACTCATATACATGTCTTTCAAACACTACTATGGTGGTCACTCTGCGTGCATGAATTGAATGGCGCTCACAAAATGATGCCCTTTTCCATGTTTTAAAGATCCGAATAATTAATTCAGGAATTTATGCCTTAACAAATTCCTTCCCATTTACAGATCTGTAAATATGTTGTTTACACATTCTGTTTTCTCTAAATATTTAGCAGGTGATTTCATTTTCAACAAAAAGCTTCTCTCCATAAGCTTTCTTTCTTCAATTGATTACATAATTGTATAAATGAATTTAATTTGCATAAATTATAAATTTGGATCTGTGTAAATGCCGTTGACCTATCTTGAACAAAAATCCAGAGGTGGTATTCTGAAAACTATGACTATGTTAAGTCCAGGGAAGATGCATTATGCATATACTCATAACCTGACACTTTATGCAGACTTACCATGATATTTACCATAGTTTGGTATTCTGAAAACTCTTTTAGCCAAAAGATAAGGTAGAAGTTAACTAAAAAAAATAACATTGGTCTGTGAGTTTTTTAAGTATTGTACATCAGTCTATATATACCTGAAATCGGAGTAGATACTTTCTTTCCTGTTTTTTTTCTATTTCGTCATTCGGATTTTGCAAATCTACAACTTTTGAACATAAAACAGATGTAGAACAACCTAGCAAAGGATAAAATAATGTAGCTTTTAATGACAAAGGCTCAACGTGCGTATGAATTGATACGTTCAACAATAAATAAGCGGCATAGTTCAGATAACTGTACGAGCGATCAAAAACAGGAAATGTAATTGGCTATGAGTACATTTTACCAGTGGCTTTCATTTGAGAATCATATGTCTGGGGTATGTCCAAAGAGATATTACACCTGTACCTTAACATAGTTTCCAGAATACTGATTTAGAGGTATGTTAACTTTTGGAATTAACATAGAATTTAACATAGTTTTCACAATATCGCCCTAGCTTGTTATCACCTATTCATGTTAATCAATAGAGCATTTACCATTCTATTGGCCTATTGATAGGGTTACTTCAATGATTATAAGAAATTTTGAATTAGCAATACTCAGATGTATAACACAATAAGGAATTTTGCATATAATATTTTATAATATTTATACATATATGTATACGATACTGTGCAAAAGTCTCAGGTCACCTAACAAAAATAAAAGAATATTCTCTATGCATGTATAATTTACCTTAGTAATTATCACCAAAGAGAGATTCTAGAACAAATAACTTTCAACCTTCTGACTATTACCACCCTAGAACAGCTGCCCCCCCCCCCCCCCCCCCCCCCCCCCCCCCCCCCCGATTAACAGGATAACAAACCTATGGTACATGGATTTCATTTCATCTGGGAGGAACAAAGTTCCTGTAGAATATTGTAAAATGTTATTCTGATTATTATTATCTGAATTTAATGTAACACACAGTTTCCAAAGATCACAGCAAAAGTTATCTTGGCTTTAACAGATTAAGGATATCTCGTGATAGTATGCATGGCACCACAGGCCTTAAACAACATCATTACATATCAATATGATATGTCAATATGATAAGTCAATCAAACCCAAACAACTTTTTTTTCTGAACAAAAGCTGCTTATGCATTCTTTTCCTCATAAAAAGATGTAAACTGAAGAAAAAACAGACTCTTGCTGAAGGAATTTACTACCACTCATATCAATTGACATGGTGTACACAACAATGTTAAAAGTACATTCACCATCTTCCTTGCAAGCCCTTTACAAATGGGAACCTTGCACATGGCTATAGAGGCTTCCAGTCATCATCCATTCCCAAGACATAATAAGCTAATCTGCAATTTCTTTTCACTTCCATTTGTAAATCATACTATTAAATATCATTCATATGCACCTTGTTTCAAATGGTATCAGAAAAAATTATAAATATTAATTTTAAGTAAGATATAATATTCATCACCAACTTTAATGGCCCAATATTTATTATTCATATTTCATTGATTTAAATTGCATTTATCTACTTAAATCATACTTGCACAAATACTGTCAATACACTTTTGAGTTCTATTAACACATTTTACAGCTGATTTTCGCATTCTAATAATGATAAATTATTAGAATTTATTGTGTCTATTCATTTGACTAAAGCTTGTGTAAAAATGGAATTCAAACCTCTTCTATAGTGTATGTAGAAACTATTGAAGCCAAGATCAAAGGTCACCAACGATGAGGTTATCTTGTGATTCTGGTAAGAAGAAGGAATCTTTAGACTGTGATTTTAGTAAAGTATCCCGGTCCATGTTTGTACCAGAGAAGTGAACAATCACATCAGCATCGAATTGGGAGCGTCTTACATTAATATCAAGAAGACCAGGGTTGGATCTACTTTCAGCCAATCTGTTGCAAATTAAAAAAATTGTGACAATGTCAAATATCTGCAAACACTTCACAGCATAAGGAGAATGTGTATAAATAAAGTTCAATGGTTTGTAGTCTAGTGGAGCCTCATTATAAAGAGCTTTGATATAACAAGTATCTGTTTTAACAAGGTGAATTTGCTGGTCCCAGCTCTTTATATTCTTTTTTTTTTTTTACCCTGATATAAAAGGTTATTTCCTTAGTCCCAAGGACCTTGTTTAACGAGTACTATGTATTTTGGTCAGTGAAAGAATAAAAATCTTTAAAATATGTATTCACAAATTAAGAAAATGGATAGAATAAAATAGACATCATATCTGCACATATAGCTACATTATAAAGGTTACAGCACTCTCATAGCTTTACAAAAAAACGAATGAGACTGTGTCTCCAATATGCTTCCCTCACATTCAGTCAATTCATCGTTTAAATGTTCTACTAGATGTATGGAGTATGTACCGTAAATCTCTGTGTATTATACACACCCTATTATGATGACCAAGACCAATCTTTTTTTGTGTGTGTGATTTGCTTTGCTTTTGGTTTTGGTTTTTTGCCGACACCGAAGGCAGCAAGCCCGATCACATAGCGTCTTATTTCAGCGTTCGATGAGGTATGTTCGGAAACCCAAGCCATGCAGGAAGGGGCTTTAATTTATAGCGAGGCGCTGTTGAACTTGTCACAAATAAAAATTACAATGTTGTTTTTAAAACTAAAAATTACAGAGAAATTTTGCTCTGAGTCCAAACAGAAATTTGAACAGGCTAGATTGGACAGGAGTCGAAATCCCCTGTGTGAGTGAGCTACATGATACGAGTGAGTGAGCCAAAGACATGGGAGAGCTTGAATTACACCCCTATGATGCTCCACACTAAGTGATTTACATCCCTATGATGCTCCATACTAAGTGATTAACATCCCTATGATGCTCCATACTAAGTGATTAACATCCCTATGATGCTCCATACTAAGTGATTCACATCCCTATGATGCTCCATACTAAGTGATTTACATCCCTATGATGCTCCATACTAAGTGATTCACATCCCTATGATGCTCCATACTAAGTGATTAACATCCCTATGATGCTCCATACTAAGTGATTAACATCCCTATGATGCTCCATACTAAGTGATTCACATCCCTATGATGCTCCATACTAAGTGATTCACATCCCTATGATGCTCCATACTAAGTGATTTACATCCCTATGATGCTCCATACTAAGTGATTAACATCCCTATGATGCTCCATACTAAGTGATTTACATCCCTATGATGCTCCATACTAAGTGATTTACATCCCTATGATGCTCCATACTAAGTGATTTACATCCCTATGATGCTCCATACTAAGTGATTCACATCCCTATGATGCTCCATACTAAGTGATTCACATCCCTATGATGCTCCATACTAAGTGATTTACATCCCTATGATGCTCCATACTAAGTGATTTACATCCCTATGATGCTCCATACTAAGTGATTTACATCCCTATGATGCTCCATACTAAGTGATTAACATCCCTATGTTGCTCCATACTAAGTGATTTACATCCCTATGATGCTCCATACTAAGTGATTAACATCCCTATGATGCTCCATACTAAGTGATTTACATCCCTATGATGCTCCATACTAAGTGATTTATATCCCTATGATGCTCCATACTAAGTGATTAACATCCCTATGTTGCTCCATACTAAGTGATTTACATCCCTATGATGCTCCATACCAAGTGATTAACATCCCTATGATGCTCCATACTAAGTGATTCACATCCCTATGATGCTCCATACTAAGTGATTAACATCCCTATGTTGCTCCATACTAAGTGATTTACATCCCTATGATGCTCCATACTAGTGATTCACATCCCTATGTTGCTCCATACTAAGTGATTTACATCCCTATGATGCTCCATACTAGTGATTCACATCCCTATGATGCTATAATCTTTTTGGTTATTTGTCCTTAGCTTGAATCACTAAACAAATCCGTAACGACAGAGCCTGAAAGGAATCTTAGAAATTTGACGAGCAGACTATTCATATTATTCTTTTATTTAATGCTTATGATTCAAAAATTGGTGTGCATATGTGCACGGAAAATTATCTAGAGGCAGATGTAATTGAATGGCAGGTTCATAACTTCTGTGTTAGGCCTTCTATGTTCTGAAGAAGGATAAACATTTCTGTTGATACCAGATTAACTTCAAAGACATATTCAGTATTTATGAAATATTCGTCCATGTTTTTTATCCATTTATCTGACTTTTTCTTCCATTTTTCTATTTTTGCTAGAATTTCCCTTTAGCATCAGTGTCTAAGAAATATTCTATACTCACTTTGAAAAACAGTCGTCTAAGTCTGGATCATCTTCTACGCCCTAAGAAGGAAAGGGAAGGAGAAATTATAATTAGTAACTAGATTTGTAATACTTGTTTGGAACAAGTAGTGGGCTGGTCGAACTAAAATTTGAGACAAATTAAAGGGCACATTTCAGATATAGCTTATTGTCTCAGCTACAACATACTCGAAGTTAAGCGTAAACGAAGCTAAAACGACAGAGATATTGCTCGCGAAAGACAGGAATGTAGAATCGAGTTTTGAGAAAAAATGATGTCCCATAGAGAATACACGCAAAAAGTTAAAAATTGACATGCATCCTTTAATCGCAAAAATACGCCATGATGCTTTTGTCAAAATGACGGATAATAGAACTGCATTTGTAGAAAATAATCTCAGCTAGAACATATCAAAATTTGGAAGAAAATCGATCAATATTTACAGATATACAATCAATTTTCCATAAATATGCTGATGTCATAAAATGCAAATTGGAATTTTGAGTTCGGAGGCCATTATGATGACGTCATGAGTTAATTGAGGGTCAAATGAGACATGAAACAATATCTCCGAATCATACTCTATTAAAATACGAAAACAAATTGGGGTCACCTTGCATCCTAAAGAGCTACAATGGATTTTGTATAGGCATGTTTTTGCCCATATATGCTATGTATTACAAGAGCTCGCAAGCACGGAAATTTATGTTAAACGGTCGATCATTCCGTTATTAATAGTCATAAAGAGACAAACAGGGCATCAATTTGTTTGTAAAAAATATCTGGAATATCATGAAAGAAAAAAATTGGCAATTCTATGTTGTGTAATAGTATGCGCGTGTGCGAGATTATTTATAAAATGCTTAGAATTGCCTAAAACGTATGCAAAATGATTTTGAGCATTAAAAAATTTTGCGCGCGCGGAAGTACGCGCACACGCGCATTCTTTGACCTGAAATTGACCGAACGGATATTGACCTTGATCAAGATAAATATGAATAAGAAATAACTTTTAGTTATAAAAATATGATCATGAGTTGATTTTCCGAAAAATTTACAAAATGGCGCCTAGATGACGTCATCAGTAAAGATCAATGTTAAAAACGTTTTTGTGCTTTGTACATATGCCTATACATATGTGTGCTGAATTTCAAGGCATTTGATTGAGCCATTTTCAAGCTATCTTGTCCACAAAAAGTGGTTAGAAATAAGAAAAATAAAGAATGATAAATAAATAAATAAAGACAATTCTAACAAAATTATAAGGTGGTCTGTACGATATACAGCCCACCTGATTATTTGATATATTAACATGCATAATTGTTTGCAATAATTTTCTTTTTTTAAATAAAATATAGTGCATCCCAGAAAAAATGAAACTGAGAATTATCAATGTTTTATGATAACTTAATCACAATTATAATTGATAAATGACACATATTTGGAAAGCTTAGATCCTCTTCTTTCATTTGATGCAACTCATATAGTGCATATTTCACGCATGAGTGATTAAAACCAATTTAAAGAGAGGAAACCAAAAAGTCATAAGGCAGGCGGTATCTGAATTTCAAAGAGAAAATCATGTATTTAGAAAGTTGAGTTTCTGCCCTTTCATATGACACCTCAATCATGAAAAATGAGCAATGACCAAGTTCTGTTTGTTTAAAGAAGTGCTTGCATTTCCATAATTTTATCAAACGAATTCGTTTTTACTGGCTGCTTGCCGTAGCAGTAAACAGAGTTGACAAAAGACTTAACTCCGTTTCATTGACAATCAGCCGTAGATGAAAGACTTCAATGCATTTTTCATGAAATGCCAAAATAATGACAGGTAAATTTACTCTTTTGACCTTAGACACACGAACCCTCAAATTGAAATACTGATGATGGATACAAGTACATTCACAGCTAAAACAGTTACCAGGGCTTAACCACTTGACTGCGTGCCACGTACATGTATGTGGTCTCGCTCTCACTTGCCTGTGCGCACCACGTACATGTACGTGTTTAGAGCATTGCACTGTCAAGACTGTAGCACTGCATAATACCTAGCCCTAGTGTGTAATTAGCACTGCAATGATGATATACAGGTCTTGAACAGTAGATGGCGCTCTTCAAAAAAAAAACTGGCTTTTTTGTGTACAGTGTACAGTTTTTGTAAGGTTTTTGTAAAGTACAAAAATGCTGTAGCACAGGGGGTATGAACGTAGTCAAGTGGTTAAACCCTTCAATTTCATGCAAATATATAGTAACTCTCTGACCTACATGTATGAACTTTATTAAAAACGTTCTAGTTCAGTTAAAAGCAGTGAGAAACTTTTAATATACTTTTTAATACAAATTTCATATCCATCAAGACAAAACTTAAAGATTTACACAGATACTATCTACATGCAATTAAGTTTATATCACAGCATGCCCCAAAGCAAGGCAAATCTTGCCATTGTTCAAAAGAAATAAGGTATAACCACATTTCTCAAGTTTAAAATGACTGTCAAGCACAGACCTCTGTCCATTGATCAGATTGCAGAGTGGAACATGCAATGAATACTCAGAGAAGAACCTTAGGAAAAGGGAATGTAGAAACAAGGAGATGGAAGCTGCAATGAATACTCTGAGAAGAATCTTAGGAAAAGGGAATGTAGAAACAAGAAGATGGAAGCTGCAATGAATACTCAGAAAAGAATCTTAGGAAAGGGAATGTAGAAACAAGGAGATGGAAGCTGCCATGAATACTCAGAAAAGAATCTTAGGAAAAGGGAATGTAGAAACAAGGAGATGGAAGCTGCAATGAATACTCAGAGAAGAATCTTAGGAAAAGGGAATGTAGAAACAAGAAGATGGAAGATGCAATGAATACTCAGAAAAGAATCTTAGGAAAAGGGAATGTAGAAACAAGGAGATGGAAGCTGCAATGAATACTCAGAAAAGAATCTTAGGAAAAGGGAATGTAGAAACAAGGAGATGGAAGCTGCAATGAATACTCTGAGAAGAATCTTAGGAAAAGGGAATGTAGAAACAAGGAGATGGAAGCTGCCATGCTCTGAGAAGAACCTTAGGAAAAGGGAATGTAGAAACAAGAAGATGGAAGCTGCAATGAATACTCAGAAAAGAATCTTAGGAAAAGGGAATGTAGAAACAAGGAGATGGAAGCTGCCATGCTCTGAGAAGAACCTTGGGAAGATGGAAGCTGCAATGAATACTCAGAAAAGAATCTTAGGAAAAGGGAATGTAGAAACAAGAAGATGGAAGCTGCAATGAATACTCAGAAAAGAATCTTAGGAAAAGGGAATGTAGAAACAAGGAGATGGAAGCTGCCATGAATACTCAGAAAAGAATCTTAGGAAAAGGGAATGTAGAAACAAGAAGATGGAAGCTGCAATGAATACTCTGAGAAGAATCTTAGGAAAAGGGAATGTAGAAACAAGGAGATGGAAGCTGCATTGAATACTCTGAGAAGAATCTTAGGAAAAGGGAATGTAGAAACAAGAAGATGGAAGCTGCAATGAATACTCTGAAAAGAATCTTAGGAAAAGGGAATGTAGAAACAAGGAGATGGAAGATGCAATGAATACTCTGAGAAGAATCTTAGGAAAAGGGAATGTAGAAACAAGGAGATGGAAGCTGCAATGAATACTCAGAAAAGAATCTTAGGAAAAGGGAATGTAGAAACAAGAAGATGGAAGATGCAATGAATACTCAGAGAAGAATCTTAGGAAAAGGGAATGTAGAAACAAGGAGATGGAAGCTGCAATGAATACTCAGAAAAGAATCTTAGGAAAAGGGAATGTAGAAACAAGGAGATGGAAGCTGCAATGAATACTCTGAGAAGAATCTTAGGAAAAGGGAATGTAGAAACAAGGAGATGGAAGCTGCCATGCTCTGAGAAGAACCTTAGGAAAAGGGAATGTAGAAACAAGAAGATGGAAGCTGCAATGAATACTCAGAAAAGAATCTTAGGAAAAGGGAATGTAGAAACAAGGAGATGGAAGCTGCCATGCTCTGAGAAGAACCTTGGGAAAAGGGAATGTAGAAACAAGAAGATGGAAGCTGCAATGAATACTCAGAAAAGAATCTTAGGAAAAGGGAATGTAGAAACAAGGAGATGGAAGCTGCCATGAATACTCAGAAAAGAATCTTATGAAAAGGGAATGTAGAAACAAGGAGATGGAAGCTGCAATGAATACTCAGAAAAGAATCTTAGGAAAAGGGAATGTAGAAACAAGAAGATGGAAGCTGCAATGAATACTCAGAGAAGAATCTTAGGAAAAGGGAATGTAGAAACGAGAAGATGGAAGCTGCAATGAATACTCTGAGAAGAATCTTAGGAAAAGGGAATGTAGAAACAAGGAGATGGAAGCTGCAATGAATACTCTGAGAAGAATCTTAGGAAAAGGGAATGTAGAAACAAGGAGATGGAAGCTGCATTGAATACTCTGAGAAGAATCTTAGGAAAAGGGAATGTAGAAACAAGAAGATGGAAGCTGCAATGAATACTCTGAGAAGAATCTTAGGAAAAGGGAATGTAGAAACAAGAAGATGGAACATGCAATGAATACTCTGAAAGAATCTTAGGAAAAGGGAATGTAGAAACAAAGAGATGGAAGATGCAATGAATACTCAGAAAAGAATCTTAGGAAAAGGGAATGTAGAAACAAGGAGATGGAAGATGCAATGAATACTCTGAGAAGAATCTTAGGAAAAGGGAATGTAGAAACAAGGAGATGGAAGCTGCAATGAATACTCAGAAAAGAATCTTAGGAAAAGGGAATGTAGAAACAAGAAGATGGAAGATGCAATGAATACTTTGAGAAGAATCTTAGGAAAAGGGAATATAGAAACAAGGAGATGGAAGATGCAATGAATACTCTGAGAAGAATCTTAGGAAAAGGGAATGTAGAAACAAGGAGATGGAAGCTGCAATGAATACTCAGAAAAGAATCTTAGGAAAAGGGAATGTAGAAACAAGGAGATGGAAGCTGCAATGAATACTCTGAGAAGAATCTTAGGAAAAGGGAATGTAGAAACAAGGAGATGGAAGCTGCAATGAATACTCTGAGAAGAATCTTAGGAAAAGGGAATGTAGAAACAAGGAGATGGAAGCTGCATTGAATACTCTGAGAAGAATCTTAGGAAAAGGGAATGTAGAAACAAGAAGATGGAAGCTGCAATGAATACTCTGAGAAGAATCTTAGGAAAAGGGAATGTAGAAACAAGAAGATGGAAGCTGCAATGAATACTCTGAGAAGAATCTTAGGAAAAGGGAATGTAGAAACAAGGAGATGGAAGCTGCAATGAATACTCAGAAAAGAATCTTAGGAAAAGGGAATGTAGAAACAAGGAGATGGAAGCTGCAATGAATACTCTGAGAAGAATCTTAGGAAAAGGGAATGTAGAAACAAGGAGATGGAAGCTGCCATGCTCTGAGAAGAACCTTAGGAAAAGGGAATGTAGAAACAAGAAGATGGAAGCTGCAATGAATACTCAGAAAAGAATCTTAGGAAAAGGGAATGTAGAAACAAGGAGATGGAAGCTGCCATGCTCTGAGAAGAACCTTGGGAAAAGGGAATGTAGAAACAAGAAGATGGAAGCTGCAATGAATACTCAGAAAAGAATCTTAGGAAAAGGGAATGTAGAAACAAGGAGATGGAAGCTGCCATGAATACTCAGAAAAGAATCTTAGGAAAAGGGAATGTAGAAACAAGAAGATGGAAGCTGCAATGAATACTCTGAGAAGAATCTTGGGAAAAGGGAATGTAGAAACAAGGAGATGGAAGCTGCAATGAATACTCTGAGAAGAATCTTAGGAAAAGGGAATGTAGAAACAAGGAGATGGAAGCTGCAATGAATACTCAGAAAAGAATCTTAGAAAAAGGGAATGTAGAAACAAGGAGATGGAAGATGCAATGAATACTCAGAAAAGAATCTTAGGAAAAGGGAATGTAGAAACGAGAAGATGGAAGCTGCAATGAATACTCAGAAAAGAATCTTAGGAAAAGGGAATGTAGAAACAAGAAGATGGAAGATGCAATGAATACTCAGAAAAGAATCTTAGGAAAAGGGAATGTAGAAACAAGGAGATGGAAGATGCAATGAATACTCAGAAAAGAATCTTAGGAAAAGGGAATGTAGAAACAAGGAGATGGAAGATGCAATGAATACTCTGAGAAGAATCTTAGGAAAAGGGAATGTAGAAACAAGGAGATGGAAGCTGCAATGAATACTCAGAAAAGAATCTTAGGAAAAGGGAATGTAGAAACAAGAAGATGGAAGATGCAATGAATACTCTGAGAAGAATCTTAGGAAAAGGGAATATAGAAACAAGGAGATGGAAGATGCAATGAATACTCTGAGAAGAATCTTAGGAAAAGGGAATGTAGAAACAAGGAGATGGAAGCTGCGATGAATACTCAGAAAAGAATCTTAGGAAAAGGGAATGTAGAAACAAGAAGATGGAAGCTGCAATGAATACTCTGAGAAGAATCTTAGGAAAAGGGAATGTAGAAACAAGGAGATGGAAGCTGCAATGAATACTCTGAGAAGAATCTTAGGAAAAGGGAATGTAGAAACAAGGAGATGGAAGCTGCATTGAATACTCTGAGAAGAATCTTAGGAAAAGGGAATGTAGAAACAAGAAGATGGAAGCTGCAATGAATACTCTGAGAAGAATCTTAGGAAAAGGGAATGTAGAAACAAGAAGATGGAAGCTGCAATGAATACTCTGAGAAGAATCTTAGGAAAAGGGAATGTAGAAACAAGAAGATGGAAGCTGCAATGAATACTCAGAAAAGAATCTTAGGAAAAGGGAATGTAGAAACAAGGAGATGGAAGCTGCAATGAATACTCTGAGAAGAATCTTAGGAAAAGGGAATGTAGAAACAAGGAGATGGAAGCTGCCATGCTCTGAGAAGAACCTTAGGAAAAGGGAATGTAGAAACAAGAAGATGGAAGCTGCAATGAATACTCAGAAAAGAATCTTAGGAAAAGGGAATGTAGAAACAAGGAGATGGAAGATGCAATGAATACTCTGAGAAGAATCTTAGGAAAAGGGAATGTAGAAACAAGGAGATGGAAGCTGCATTGAATACTCTGAGAAGAATCTTAGGAAAAGGGAATGTAGAAACAAGAAGATGGAAGCTGCAATGAATACTCTGAGAAGAATCTTAGGAAAAGGGAATGTAGAAACAAGAAGATGGAACATGCAATGAATACTCTGAAAAGAATCTTAGGAAAAGGGAATGTAGAAACAAAGAGATGGAAGATGCAATGAATACTCAGAAAAGAATCTTAGGAAAAGGGAATGTAGAAACAAGGAGATGGAAGATGCAATGAATACTCTGAGAAGAATCTTAGGAAAAGGGAATGTAGAAACAAGGAGATGGAAGCTGCAATGAATACTCAGAGAAGAATCTTAGGAAAAGGGAATGTAGAAACGAGAAGATGGAAGATGCAATGAATACTCAGAAAAGAATCTTAGGAAAAGGGAATGTAGAAACGAGAAGATGGAAGCTGCAATGAATACTCAGAAAAGAATCTTAGGAAAAGGGAATGTAGAAACAAGGAGATGGAAGATGCAATGAATACTCTGAGAAGAATCTTAGGAAAAGGGAATGTAGAAACAAGGAGATGGAAGCTGCAATGAATACTCAGAAAAGAATCTTAGGAAAAGGGAATGTAGAAACAAGAAGATGGAAGCTGCAATGAATACTCAGAGAAGAATCTTAGGAAAAGGGAATGTAGAAACGAGAAGATGGAAGCTGCAATGAATACTCTGAGAAGAATCTTAGGAAAAGGGAATGTAGAAACAAGGAGATGGAAGCTGCAATGAATACTCTGAGAAGAATCTTAGGAAAAGGGAATGTAGAAACAAGGAGATGGAAGCTGCATTGAATACTCTGAGAAGAATCTTAGGAAAAGGGAATGTAGAAACAAGAAGATGGAAGCTGCAATGAATACTCTGAGAAGAATCTTAGGAAAAGGGAATGTAGAAACAAGAAGATGGAACATGCAATGAATACTCTGAAAAGAATCTTAGGAAAAGGGAATGTAGAAACAAAGAGATGGAAGATGCAATGAATACTCAGAAAAGAATCTTAGGAAAAGGGAATGTAGAAACAAGGAGATGGAAGATGCAATGAATACTCTGAGAAGAATCTTAGGAAAAGGGAATGTAGAAACAAGGAGATGGAAGCTGCAATGAATACTCAGAAAAGAATCTTAGGAAAAGGGAATGTAGAAACAAGAAGATGGAAGATGCAATGAATACTCTGAGAAGAATCTTAGGAAAAGGGAATATAGAAACAAGGAGATGGAAGATGCAATGAATACTCTGAGAAGGATCTTAGGAAAGGGAATGTAGAAACAAGGAGATGGAAGCTGCAATGAATACTCAGAAAAGAATCTTAGGAAAAGGGAATGTAGAAACAAGGAGATGGAAGCTGCAATGAATACTCTGAGAAGAATCTTAGGAAAAGGGAATGTAGAAACAAGGAGATGGAAGCTGCAATGAATACTCTGAGAAGAATCTTAGGAAAAGGGAATGTAGAAACAAGGAGATGGAAGCTGCATTGAATACTCTGAGAAGAATCTTAGGAAAAGGGAATGTAGAAACAAGAAGATGGAAGCTGCAATGAATACTCTGAGAAGAATCTTAGGAAAAGGGAATGTAGAAACAAGAAGATGGAACATGCAATGAATACTCTGAAAAGAATCTTAGGAAAAGGGAATGTAGAAACAAAGAGATGGAAGATGCAATGAATACTCAGAAAAGAATCTTAGGAAAAGGGAATGTAGAAGCAAGGAGATGGAAGGTGCAATGAATACTCAGAAAAGAATCTTAGGAAAAGGGAATGTAGAAACAAGGAGATGGAAGATGCAATGAATACTCAGAAAAGAATCTTAGGAAAAGGGAATGTAGAAACAAAGAGATGGAAGATGCAATGAATACTCAGAAAAGAATCTTAGGGAAAGTGAATGTAGAAACAAGAAGATGGAAGCTGCATTGAATACTCAGAAAAGAATCTTAGGAAAAGGGAATGTAGAAACAAGGAGATGGAAGCTGCAATGAATACTCAGAAAAGAATCTTAGGAAAAGGGAATGTAGAAACAAGGAGATGGAAGCTGCCATGAATACTCTGAGAAGAATCTTAGGAAAAGGGAATGTAGAAACAAGGAGATGGAAGCTGCCATGAATACTCAGAAAAGAATCTTAGGAAAAGGGAATGTAGAAACAAGGAGATGGAAGCTGCATTGAATACTCAGAAAAGAATCTTAGGAAAAGGGAATGTAGAAACAAGGAGATGGAAGCTGCAATGAATACTCAGAGAAGAATCTTAGGAAAAGGGAATGTAGAAACAAGGAGATGGAAGCTGCCATGAATACTCTGAGAAGAATCTTAGGAAAAGGGAATGTAGAAACGAGAAGATGGAAGCTGCAATGAATACTCAGAAAAGAATCTTAGGAAAAGGGAATGTAGAAACAAGGAGATGGAAGATGCATTGAATACTCTGAGAAGAATCTTAGGAAAAGGGAATGTAGAAACAAGGAGATGGAAGCTGCCATGCTCTGAGAAGAATCTTAGGAAAAGGGATACTTCTGGTGTGACCAGCTGTCAACAATTATCTGTTGATAGCTGAAGTAGCTTTTGTTTGCAAACAAAAAAGGGGAACAGATGTTAGCTCCTTGCCCTCCATCCTCATTCAATCTCTTGCACAATACCTTCACACAAAGTTTTACATCTTCACTTAATTACATTTTTCCAATATCAAAACCTGTGCTTTTGACACTTTTTTTATTCTTTTTTAATATCCATTTACATGTAGCTGTATCTGTTACTTACAATATGTGAACAAGAATTTGCCACCTGGTGAGCATGTTTGTTGCTATCTTCAAGATGAATGTGACTGTTGAAAACTAGAGGCTGAGGCCGATGCTTCTCAAATGTGACAGTGGAAGGTGGTGCGGAGGACGAGATGACAGAAGTATCACATTGAACCGTTAATACTGCAAGGAAAGCAAGAGACATGATAAAAAGAGAAAAGAGACATCATATTGAACTGTTAATACTGTTGAATTGAAGGGAAGCAAAATATAGTGAAATGATAGAAACATCATATTGAACTATTTTGTTTGTTTGTGTCTCCTTAGATCAAGATTAATGCAAAGTTCCTAAAAATTAAATTAAATTGAATTAAGTTCTTCCATCTTTCAATGGCTGTGATCGCAGTCTCATTTAAAAGGGTCAGGTCTTCATCTGTGTAACCCGTACCGTTGTACTGCGAAATATATGGTCCATCGTCCGAGTCTCTAAGCAGTCGCAGAGAGAGTATCTTCTTCATGGGCATAGCCCCATCTTGCCATGTTGGTCTTACACTGCCCGTTCTCATTCGCATTCGATTTAGGCATTTCCACTCCTGCCACTTCAGGTTTAGTCCTTTGATGAGTATGGGCTTGGCTGATGGTGGAGGATTCTGTTCAGGTGGTGAGACAGAATCGAGGAGGCTGTGTCGGGATGCAAGGCGTCTGTGGGGTTGTAAATAGCCGTATAACATGTGTCTGTCATCTGTCGCCTGCTTCATCCGTTCCTTTAGGCAGGTGTTAGTGCATCTTTCGTTAGGAGATCCGATGCCAGCGTGGTGATATATCTCCTCAACTTTTGTTGGTTTAAGGCAGCCTGTTATCTTTCGATATGTGTTATTGAGTGTGGTGTCAAGCTTCTTCACATGGGCTGATCTGCTCCAAACTGGGCAAGCATATTTTGCGGATGACATGCAAAGGGCAACAGCTGCAGTTTGTACAGTTTTGGGGTCAGCGCCATAGTGTGAAGTTGCTAGCTTCCCGATGATGGCATTTCGAGATTCTACTTTTCTTATTGTCTTCTCGATGTGCTTCTTATAGGATAAAGTGCAATCAAGTTTTACACCTAGGTACACTGGATGCTCGCAGTGGTTTAGCTGCATATTGTTCAACTCTAGCTTCAGTTCTTTCTTTGTCTCCCTGTTTTTCAAGTAAGGTACACACCCGAGTCTTGGATGGGTTTGCCCGTAAGTAGTTTGCTCTGGAGTATTCAGAAAGGCTTGCAAGCGCTGTGTTGAGATGGAGTTCAACAACTTTGCTGGGTAATATGCTGGGCTGTGATGCAGGTGTCATCTGCATAGATGAAGTTTCAAGTATTCTCAGTTGCAGGGATGTCTGCAGTGTAGATGTTGTAGAGTGTTGGCGCCAGAACGCCACCCTGGGGGAGACCGTTTTTCTATTTCCGGCATCTGCTCTTCTGCCCATCAAGTTTGACAAAGAAGCGTCTGTTCTGCATCATCTTCTTGATAAATTTGGTGAGTTTGAAGTCATTTGTGATGTCATGAAGTGTTTTCTGTAGCCTTTGGTGATTGACATTGTCATAAGCAGCAGATACATCCACAAATACTGCACCAGTGATGAGGTTGTTCTGAAAACCATCTTCGATGTGTTGGGTCAGGTTGAGAAGTTGTCCCGTGGTGGATTTTCCTGGTCGAAAACCTGCCTGCTCACAGTTTAGTTGGCTGTCAACGTGAGGTGCAATACTGTTGAGAATAAGGCGATCAAGCAGCCCGTTTGTTTTGCACAGGAGCGAGATCAGTCGAAAGTTCTTGACCTCATTCAAAACCTTTCCTGGCTTGAGGATAGCAACAACTTTGGTTCGGAGCCACGGTTTTGGGACACAGGTGTTCTTGATGCAGTTGTTAAACACGTCTAGCAGCCATTTCTGTGCTACAGAGCCCATGTGTTTAATCTGCTCCTATCTGATGTTGTCGATGCCTGCTGCCTTGTTGACCTGCAGGGTGGAGATACCTTTCTGTAGTTCCTCTTCAGAAATAGGTTTTGTGAAAAGAGACATGTTCTTGTCAACTCCAGGTAGTTTGTGCCTGTGTAAATAAGTCGTCTTAGGGGCCTTTCCATTTTTCAACAGCTGAGTCGATACTTGGTCTGCCATAACATTATAACGTTATTGAGCTTGCGTATGGTAGCCCATGCTTTCCCGCTGCTGTGTCTTAGGTCACATCTGCCTATGTCGTTGAGATATCCTTGATGTGAGCTCTTCTCCAAGGTTGATGGTGTCCCCTGAGAAGGGATCTGTGCCGTAGGCTGTGGCATAGTTTGCCAGAAGCTGACTTGATTCTTTGCCGATGCCTGGAATGTATGTCGTGCGACAGCCTCTTGGGATATGTTTATGTGACACCTTCTTGACTATGTCTATGAAGGATTCATAGTTCTTTGGGTCTGCTGGGAGATGTATTAGGGCATGATCAAGGTTTTCGGTGAAAGCAGGCCAGTCTGCCTTAGCAAAATTGAACCTGCGCTTGAACAGGGACTTGTTTGGTGTGATTACTGCAGTCAGTTGAATGCCGATGGGTCAGTGTTGGGATCTTGGAATCGGCTCAGCTACAAATTTACGACTGGTAGGAGCAAATAGTCTGCTGCAGAAAACTCGATCTGGTTTGTAACGTCTCTTCCAGCGGGCACTGACTTTGGGAGCTTTGGGTCGCGGATTAGTTTTAGATCATTGTTTTAGGCCATTGTTTCAACTAGTGCTCCACCATCTCCAGTGGTATCATATCCCCATTGCGTGCTGTGGCAAGAGGAGAGGACTGAACACTGAGCCTTGGTGAACTCCTACTTTGACATCAAAGCTTTTGCTGTCACCACACGACGTTTGGATGTGTCTTTGCTTCTGCAAATAGTGCCATGACTGCTCGTATGAGCCACTTCTCAACACCTGCCATCCTCAACGCCCATCTGACAACCTCCCTTGATACTCGGTCAAAGGCCTTCTCTGGGTCGACAAATGCAAAGTACAGCTGCTGCTTCTTTGCAAGAAACTTTTCTTGCATCTGACCTGACGTACGGTGAATATAGCATCGATAGTTCCCTTTTCTGGCATAAAGCCAAACTCCATTTCATCAACTGCAACCTGCTCTCTGATTCTTTTTTCCAGATCATAGATCATAGATCTTCATGGCATGCTCGAGAAGCTTGATGGCTCGATAGGACCCACAGGCCAGTGGGTCTCCTTTCCCTTTATAGAGTGGGACTACGGCACTCAGAGTCCAGTCAGATGGAATGTGACCATCGCCGGATGCCCTTCCTATCACAACCATAAGTGACCTCTTCCCAGCAACTCTTCCGCCCGTAGCCGTTGGTCACCAAGGCGCAGCTCATATGCCCCCTGCAACCAGATTAGTTGCCGGCCACTCGACCATTAAGCTGGCAGTACAGGCCTTACATGATTACCTGTAGCAACAAAACAGTTGGCCAGACTCGATCTCCTCATTCATGAAGATAGCACTTCCATATTGGCTGTGTGGTCGCTCGATGGCAAGCTTCATACCCTTGACCTTGGGCCGTGGATTGTCGCTTCCACGGTGAGTCTCTTGAAGACATAGCACATTGCAGTTCATTTGATTGCACAAATGAGCAAGGACTTCCTCCTTGGCATCTGATATACCTTAAGCGTTCCATGATAGCTTCTAAGGCCCCCCCCCCCCCCCCCAAGATCTCGGATGTTAAACGGCTGATCGCTGCAAAAATGTGCACGCATGTCAAGTGAAGTGGATAGAATGCTATGGTAATTTCAATTTTGGGGAGAAAATTTGTTTGCATATTTATGGTAATTTATGCAATTAGGTTCATAAAATGCACATTTTTACACGTAAATCATATGTTCTTCATATTCAAATATTTGTTTTCACTACATATATTCTTCAGACCATTTGGAATAATAATACAACAACAAAATTTGAAAGATAATTTATTATGTTATCTATTTTCGATAATTTCTTATGTATTTCATTGTTTTTAAAACTTCTGTATTTTTATTGTTGTTGTTATATTTCATTTCTGGCTATAATTCAACTATTTTGACCCCCAAAACAAACACCTAAACTGTAAACAAGACAAATAACCAATGATTTATCTCTTTTTTGGAAAAATGATATTTCCATATGATTTGTGCACAAGTCACGAAAATGAGCGATTTTCGGGCTGACATGCAAAGACAGAGCGCAAAATGTAGAGGGGGGCTTCTACAGCCCCCCCCCCCCCCCCCGGTCTATAAAGGGTTAATAATGCAGGGATGAGGGTTCAAGATCAAGGGTAAAAATAGAAATTTAGGAGTTGTTACACTCGTGTGAAGCCACAACCACTATCAATCATATAGATTTCAATACCAGTAGTTGTTATTCTGTTACATACATTACTTGCTAGAAATGTTTTAGCGGGTTATCAAATTAATGATCAATGAGTTTTTTGCGAAACTAAAAATCATAATAAAGTAACTGTTTATGCTGTAATAAAAAAAGATGACTTGTATTTGTTTGCAAAAACAACATACATGACACAAGAATGTATAGCACCATGAAATACAAGTTTCTGTGTGTTTCACAGTATACACGTATTCTCAATGCAGTCTCATGACTAGATCTCACCTTTATCTATATAGATAACTACATACATCTTCAACCATTTTCTTAGAATTGAACCATACAATGAAATGTGATGCTTGTCATGAATCATTTCCCTCCCTTTAAATGTTTGGGAGAACAAGGTTGCCGAAACTGACACAGGAAGTTGCCACATACAAGAGTCACAAGACTATTTTCAAACGGGAAGTAATCAATTAATGAACCTGGTTCAAGCCATCAGTGATGGGGGCTTACAATGGTAATAGACAGGGGGTATGGGTAATATATGTTAACTGGAAGGTGAATAAATTTCATATTAGCAGGTTTTTATTTTCAATATTTCTAATGTGAAGCAGTTGTAACAAAACTGCACTTTCAGTTTGTCATGCAAGTCATGTTCCTGAAACCATATTCTAAGGCCAATTAAAATTAATTCCTATAGAAGTAGTCTCTCATCCCCCTCCTTCTTTTTTTTCGGCAAACCTCTATGTGTTGATATTTTCTTTTTAAATTAAATAAATAAGAATCTGAAGACATCTGGACAATAGGTTAACAAAAATCAAAAAGACATTCCAATTTCCCCTTGTTTTAAAACTCTGTACAAATAAAATTAAACTTTAAAAAAGTGTGTTGAAACTGACCCAATGGCATTTGTACATTTACAGAAAATGTATCACTATATACAAAATATAAAAATGGAACCCACTCTTCTTTATTGTCCTCTCCTCCTGACAAGAAACTAGGGATCAAAACTAATTGACCTAAAGTAACAATTCCTGCTAATGTCACATGAGTCTTACAACTTGAGTCTGTTATATAGGATGAAAATAAACTAGATAGACCTTCAACCGCGCGCAGTCGAAAATGATGCCTCCGCCATGGAGCAATTTTACAAACAAAAACAGAAGCGAGCTATTTTGAGTACATAATGAGCCCTGTGACCTTTGACCTTGTTACCCCCAAATTTAATCAGTTCATTGGCGCTGCAAGATAAATACATGACCCAAGTTTGGCGGGAATCCATCGAAGGGTTCTTGAGATAACGCGATCACAAGCTATTTTTGCATACATAATGAGCCCTGTGACCCTTGACCTTGGATCTCGCGACCCCAAAATCTAATCAGTTCATTGGCTCTGCAAGATATATACATGACCCAAGTTTGGCGGGAATCCATCAATTGGTTCTTGAGATAACGCGATCACGAGAACGGGACGTACAGACGGACGGACGGACGGACACCCCAAAAACATAATGCCTCCAGCCACTTTGTAGCGGATGCATAAAAATGAAGTGAAGAAGACAAAATAAAACAAGTTTGAAGTAAAATGTACTTAACTTACTTTTGTTACAGACAGACATAGGAGGGGGTTGTAATGAAGGTGTTGAAGCATCTGAAGACCAATGGTTTTGAGTTCTTGATCCATTTGAAGTAGAATCACAACCTGGAATAGCTTGAGGTGCTGACTTTCTATGTGGTGAACCTACATGATACACAATTACTGTCTCTCATTACCTCTTCCTCTTTCAATTCAATATCATTTCATTTCACCATTGTTTATGTCATAATAATTTCAGATAAGTTTGTTCGTCAATAAATGCAAAAAATAACATATAATATTGCCAGAAGGAGATAACTGTGTGTTAAAGGATAGGACTTTTTGATATTTTCTCTTCCAAAAATAATGCGGCCTTTACGCCGGCAAATACGGTAATCATAATTAAAACTGAACTAGTCAATTAAACCAGTAAAATAATTTAAAATAAAATAGAGGACTTCTGTGTGTCTTGCTGTTTGAGTGATGCCCCTTACCTGTATCTGATAACAGAGGACTTCTGTGTGTCTTGCTGTTTGAGTGATGCCCCTTACCTGTATCTGATAATAGAGGACTTCTGTGTGTCTTGCTGTTTGAGTGATGCCCCTTACCTGTATCTGATAATAGAGGACTTCTGTGTGTCTTGCTGTTTGAGTGATGCCCCTTACCTGTATCTGATAATAGAGGACTTCTGTGTGTCTTGCTGTTTGAGTGATGCCCCTTACCTGTATCTGATAACAGAGGACTTCTGTTGTGTCTTGCTGTTTGAGTGATGCCCCTTACCTGTATCTGATAACAGAGGACTTCTGTGTGTCTTGCTGTTTGAGTGATGCCCCTTACCTGTATCTGATAATAGAGGACTTCTGTGTGTCTTGCTGTTTGAGTGATGCCCCTTACTTGTATCTGATAACAGAGGACTTCTGTTGTGTCTTGCTGTTTGAGTGATGCCCCTTACCTGTATCTGATAACAGAGGACTTCTGTGTGTCTTGCTGTTTGAGTGATGCCCCTTACCTGTATCTGATAATAGAGGACTTCTGTGTGTCTTGCTGTTTGAGTGATGCCCCTTACTTGTATCTGATAACAGAGGACTTCTGTTGTGTCTTGCTGTTTGAGTGATGCCCCTTACCTGTATCTGATAATAGAGGACTTCTGTGTGTCTTGCTGTTTGAGTGATGCCCCTTACCTGTATCTGATAACAGAGGACTTCTGTGTGTCTTGCTGTTTGAGTGATGCCCCTTACCTGTATCTGATAACAGAGGACTTCTGGGTGTCTTGCTGTTTGAGTGATGCCCCTTACCTGTATCTGATAACAGAGGACTTCTGTGTGTCTTGCTGTTTGAGTGATGCCCCTTACCTGTATCTGATAACAGAGGACTTCTGTGTGTCTTGCTGTTTGAGTCATGCCCCTTACCTGTATCTGATAATAGAGGATTTCTGTGTGTCTTGCTGTTTGAGTCATGCCCCTTACCTGTATCTGATAACAGAGGACTTCTGTGTGTCTTGCTGTTTGAGTCATGCCCCTTACCTGTATCTGATAATAGAGGATTTCTGTGTGTCTTGCTGTTTGAGTCATGCCCCTTACCTGTATCTGATAATTCACCACAGTCATCTGATGTGCTTTCATCTTTCTCCTCTGAGCCAGTGCTTGTCTTCTCCACTCTGCTTTTCTTCCACACATCAAAAGCCAGATTGAATGCCTGCGCTACTGTCAGGGCTAGGGCTTCTGCCTGATTTCATATTTCAAAAAATACCACATGAAGTATGTAAACACAAACTGTCATTATTGTTATTTCACTATACAGCATACCTGATAAACCGTGTGATTTTGTTGAAGAAGGGAACATTCTCCCATTGCTTAAATGTCAACTTTTGTCAAACAAAAATGTTACAAATGGGATTTTTTTTTTTTTTTTTTTTTTTACCTCTCGTATTTGGTGTTTCCTTTACCCCATTTCAGCATTATGAATTGTGTGCTTGTTTCATTTTTTAAGGAAAATAATGGTTGAAATTAAATAGCACTCTAAGGTTCAGAATGTACATTTACATGTTCATGTACATGTAGCTCTCCAAGTGTATATGACCCAAATACTGGAGAGTAGAATCATGGTGATTTGTAGAAGGATAACATCACTGATGGCAGTCATCTACAAAGTTCTATTTTACATACTTACCACTTTCCTTTTCTGACATAAATAGGCATGGCATTCTAAGACCTCTGTTCTGAAGTGACATGAGATGAATCCAAAGATTTTGTCATTGTTCTTGTCTGCTGTACAATAGGATATCCTAAGAGACATCAAATAAAATACATCAAATAAAATACATCTTAATCCTTGCTTATATATATATCCTTATAAAATTGCTTTGTTTGTTGTGAGAATATAATTGAGATTATGAATTAAATATATCCAAAGGATTAAAACTTCAGGAGTCATTACATGAAAATGATGACGCACAAGCTGCTCAAATTTTCAGTCATCGAGTATGGTCATGAGCAGAGCCAAATAAACACATAGATTAACTAAATCGCTTTCAGTAGATCAAGCCCCAGAGCTGCCAACCTTGTGCGACCTTAAAAAAGGAATCATGATGGAAAAAAGAAGTAATTTCAAGCAAAAGAAAGGAATTCATTAAATTGAAACTTACATGTACAACCATGCGCGACCCACTTCCAATGCAGAAATGTCCATTCCTCATGCTGTTTTTCCAATACAACTTTACAAGCAGGTATTTTTTTATTTTTTTTTTGGTATTATCAACATTTCATTCTTTTTGAGAATATTTTTCTCTTCAAGTATGTTTTAAACTTAGTTTTCTATTGAATTTGTGATCAAATCAACATTATAGGGTAGTTGTTTGACGTGCAGTATGAATTATTTCTAAATGTATTTTATGAAGGAAAAATGTAATACCGTAATTTGGAGGAAAAAACGGAGTAATTTCAGCAAAAACGGAATAGTTGGCAGCTCTGAAGCCCTGATAACACACTTTTGTTTGTTTTTTGCTTGCGCAACACAACAACAAGAGCCATAATTTATCCATTTTGAATAGAGTTGGCCAAACTACATGTTTTTCTTTAGATATTGATGACTCTAATACAAGGTAATACAAAGTTTCAGGAATTTTTAAAAATTGGCTGGATAGCAATTCTTTACAATTTTGATATATTTCGATGCCCCTGTGGATGTATTATAAGCACTAGAAAATTTAGCCCCTAAAACACATCTGCTTTTGCGAAAAATTGAATATCAAAATTTACTGGTCAATTTTGATAAATTTCAAATAGCACCTACACTGTACGGCCAATAATGGCTGTGACCATGACAATCTCATAGTATGTAGTTCTGATATATCATTTCTAAACGGGAATAGCCAATCGGTCGATTTTAGTCACGAAACATTGTTTTATAGCTAAATTAAAGGAAACCTAAACCCAAAGAATAAGTGTAGGTATCCTGAAAAATGAGATGTATTCCTGCCCTTTGATGTACAATATTCCTTACGAAAATGTACAAGATATATTTAAATGAAGTCATTCCTGGCATGATGTGATGCCTGTCAGCTTGATATGGGCGCAGCCATTTTCTTGAAAATGTGACGTACCTGTTGAAGTTGTACATGTATCATGCACCAAGCTATAGTTGGAAAAAAAATTTAAATCAATAACGAAACCTTTACTTTTCAATACAAAAAAGTAATAACTGGGATAATAGAAATTATATTAGGTGAAAAATAAAATTAGGGGCACAATTGTAACAAAATTCATTTATAAATACTATACTATAGCGGTTGACAAATCTATTTTGTTTATGAGAAACCTTAACCCCAGAAGAGCACTAACTTATTTATGCAATTTGCGTAGTACAAAGGATAATAGCAGGTGAATGAAATGCTTCATCGCCACAAACGTCTGGGAAGGAAGCATCCATAAATTTGAATACTGTAACGGACCAGCCCGTAACAGGTAGTTATCTTGCAGAAAACGTAGAGGGCAGTAAGCTTTTGGGGCGTAAGGGCTCAGAGCGCGATTACGGACGCACCATGCGTAAAGCAGCTCTCAGAGCGTCTCAGATGCTATAAATATCAGTAACCAGTTAATATTTCGTCACTTCGATGCTGGCTCTCGTCTTGGTCAGATGGCGAACTCTCCGCTTTGCTCCAGCTGAGCTAAAGTAAGGAAAAGGACTGGAAGCGAGAAATAGAGTTCCTACAAAAGGCAATCCCTGCCTTTACTACTTGTTGAGATTAATACAGGTAATTGGTGTCGGTGTTAACTATGATAACGTGTTGGAGAAGTTGACTTATGTTTGTATTAATAAAGTATACAGTTAAACAAATCCATTGTTTCATAACGTGTAATTAGTTGAGTCTCCATAGACTGATGTAATATAACCCTCTCATAGAGAATACACATCCAGCTATCCAAAACACCTCTCATCTCCACACTCATATACTTCGGGAAAACGGAGCCACGTCAGGGCCTCTAAATTACAAGCCAAATAGAAACCGCTCGCATTATTTAGGATGGCAAATTCTTCGTCAGATGACGGTGATAGAGGCAAGAGACAGGCCAGCCCTCCAGCATCCAGGACCCGTTCTAGGATGGAGGGCCGTAACAATACATTTACCGGTACTTGAAAAACGACTTCGCATAGTACGTCACATAATCAAGAAAATGGCGATGCCCATGTTGTGCTGAGAAACTGTACTTTATTTTTGCTTTATACCTCTCTCATACACTTTGGTGGGGAATCTTGTAGATTTATGGACAATAATATAATAAATCTCTCAGAATAAGTAAAGTTATTACTTGAGGTTCGGTTTCCTTTAATATCTTGACCTTGAGAGGGAGCTATACAACATAAAGTGTTTATTATTTACAATTTCATCACTTTAGACTCGATAACAACCGCGACAACGATCATTGAATATTGTAGGATCGCATATGCTTCCAATCAAAGGTAATACAAAGTTTTGGGAAATTATGAAAATTTGGTGGATAGTGATTCTTAACAATTTTGATATATTTGGATGCCCCTGTGGATGTATTATAAGCACTACAAAATTTAGCCTCTAAAACGCTTCCGCTTTCGAGAAAATATGATAATTTACCGGTGCTCCTGGTAAATTTTGATAAATTTCAAATAGCGCTTACGGCCTTACAATGATAGCTGCGACCATGAAAATCTCAGAATTAGTTAATATCTTGACCTTGAGAGGGAGCTATACAACATAAAGAGTTTATTATTTACAATTACATAACTTTAGACTAGATTCCAACCGCGACAACGATCACTAAATATTGTAGGATCGCATATAGCTTCCAATATGCTCATTTGAACCAAATTCATGACCCAACACCAAAACTGTGTAATACCTTTAAGTTCATTTGAACCAAATTCATTACCCCATACCAAAACTTTGTATTACCTTTACCGTAAAAGGAAGCCCTCTGGTAAAAGCTTTCTTTTTTTCTTCTTCTTTTTTTTTTTAAAGGTGTAATGCTTTGTGGGAAAAAAATGAATTAGGATGTGAGCAGAGCAGAGCAGAAAAAAGAAAGAGAGATCGGGACTTGGAGAAAAGCTCAAATCAGTTTGTATTGAAAGACTAAAAATAAATATGAAAACACTCTTTGAGTGTGACCCAGAGACCTAATTTTTTGTATTTTTGGTCCCAGTCCTACTAAATGGTCACAAATTGGAAATTGTTAGAATGTTTCAAGACATTGCCATTCATTTCATTTCATTTCATTTCTTTCCACTTCTCATAAAAAAAATGTATAACAATTACATACAATATGTGATTAACACAACAAAACAAGAAACAATATTAGAACAAATTTAGAGCACCTAGAATTTATACTTGAGACTGTGGTGAAGCCAGCAGAGGCCATTGAACTGTCAAAAGCTGGTCTCCAGGAATATATTAAATATATAGTTACAATGTAGGTACAACACATACTGTAGTTCAGTACATAACAAAAGGGAAACGAGCGGTCTGTGTGAGAAAAAGTAGGCCTATGCACAAAGAATAGTTGGGCATAAATACTTCAGGTGGTGTAGTAACGTTAAAAAATCAACATATTTTATGATTTCAAAAGGCATTGTTCATATTAACGTTTGAAAGAGGCAAGCGATGAAGCCGTAAGAATAATCTCAGAAATACATACCTATGAATGACTATTTCCTCTAATTCCTCATTTGTTTCTAAATCTGTAGGTTTGAGTGATGTTGGAGTCACTGTCAACGCTACTTTCCTCACCTTGCCTGATCCATACTTTGCCTGCCAATAATAAAACACAGTCACACATAATATATGCTCATATATTTAAATAAATAAAAATAAGATTTCCTAAACAGATATGTTAAAGATACCATATCTTGTATCACCAACTGGACACATTCTGGAAATATTGAGACTACAAATGTTTCTCTGGCTCTTATTAACATTCTAAGGGAAGACAAAAGATATCAAGTATCTTCAAATTGCTGACTGATCTTCAGTGATTGCTGACTATCACAAGGCAGTATATGGTTTAGAAAAGGTTGATCAGTAGCCGACCACTGACTGACAACCAACAAGGAATTTAAATTTTTAATGTTGGAAAATTGTACTGAAATAGCGTGCTTCTACTGCATACTCACTACCGTAATTCAGTTTGATTGATGCTGTTCCATTGAAAGGAAAGATGGGAAGGGGGAGAAGAAAATGGAAATTAAAGTCTTCTACTTTTTTTATCTACTGTAGATACATGTGGATCATGTTTAATATTCTTTGAAATTTTCTTCATAAAATTATTTTAAAATCCCAGCTGCAGCAGGCTGGTGAAAAGACTAAAATGTTGGTCTAACAGTATGAGCTACTTACCGGTACATGTATGCATGGAGTAACTCCATGATGTATGCAACTGTCTCTGGAAAATGTAAAATGTCCCTCCACTTTATAACACCCCCAAAATTTGGTTTTTATAGAGTTTCATTTTTTTTTTAAATTGATGTTTTAAATGTAAGAGAAATATTGTTCATTATCAATAGGCCTACCGTGAATTATCATTATTATGTGTATTTATTTATTTATAGTTTTATTTACACAGGGTTGCCTCCTGTCCTTGAGGGCCCTGGATAAAAACAATACAGCAAATATATACCTGTATACAAAATTGGTATAGAAAATATACATAAAAGACAATCATAATGTAGAACTTAAAGGTAATACAAAGTTTTGGTATGGGGTCATGAATTTGGTTTAAATGAACATATATTGGAAGCAAATGCGATCCTACAACATTCAGTGATCGTTGTCGCGATTAAAATCGAGTCTACAGTGATGAAATTGTAAATAATAGAGTCTTTATGTTGTATAGCTCCTTCTCAAGGAAGATATTAAATAGCTTTAAAACAATGTTTCTTGACTAAAATCTACCAATTTGCTATTCCCGTTTGGAAATCATATATCACAACTGCATATTCTGAGATCTTCATGGTCGCAGCTACCATTGGATAGCCGTATAAGCTATTTGAAATTAATCAAAATTTACCGGGAGCACTGGTAAATTTTTATATTCAATTTTACTGGAAAGCAGAAGTGTTTTAGGGGCTAATTTTTCTAGTGCTTATAATACATCCGCAGGGGCATCCAAATGTATCACAATTGTAAAGAATCGCTATCCGGCCTTTTTCAAAATTTTCCAAAACTTTGTATTACCTTTAAAGTATGATGAAAAACATTTACTGTACAACAAATTAAAGCACATGTAATCAATCTGCCAGAAAGTTATATTCAAATCAATACTTGAGAAGTGACATTAGGACTACAGTAGAAGAGTTACTGACAGCTGGAGAAATAGAGGGTGAGATATTGATGAAGAAGACAAAAAGAAAAGAAACACATATTAAAGGTGATAGAAGGGAAGGCAAATTTCAAAAGGATGTACATGTAGGTTAAAAAGTCAGAGAAAAACTAAGCAAAGAGATTGAGCAATTGTTAAAAAGACAAGATGAGAAGAATTCAGGAAATTTAGAAATGGAAAAGTAAAAAATTCATATCATAACTATTAAGAAGTTTACAGCCCAGATGCAATATAATTATTGTTCTTTCAAGGCAGTAAAGATAGCAATGGAATTATAAGATGACTTTTGTTCTTATCCTTATGAAATGATTTTTCGCAATTCATACTGCTTAATACTGTACATGAGTAGTAAGGTGCCTAATTCTCTCTCTCATTCTTTTTTGTGTATGCGTGTGTGTATATTGACATTGTGTAGCTTGACTCACAAAGTCTTTTTCTAAGTGATGACATGTTATTGTTTAAGTGGTCCATACATGTGGAACAATGTGTTAAGAGCTTTGTAACTGCAAGGAAAGAGTGCTTTATCAGATACCATTTGGATTAGATTAGATTGCTACAGGATTGTAGCAGAGATTCAAAGCCCATTCTGACCACACATAGGAGCATCACTATCCTGGCTGTGTAGTAAAAGCTGTGCTTTTGATTCTCAACATTTCAAACACCACTGTACAAAACTCAACTGATTTCACTAAAAATCGGTACTTTAGTGACAAATGATGACACCTAAATAGCAGTAAAATACATTTTTTTTAACTAACTGATGTTAAAGGGATCGTTTAACAATGTTAAATCTGAGATACACGGTCCTACATGTTATCAGTGTCTGTGATATGGTGTAATATTGAAGCCCTAAAAAAATCGTGCTTCAAAATGATCAAGAAGTGCCTCAAAAAAGTAAAAATCTTTGAGTGACCGGTTCTACCATACTCGTTACCCCCAATAGACTGTAGTGTTATGAAAACCATTCAGCGAACAGTTTTCAAAATTTGTAATTCCAATCATTAATACACATTTTGAAAACCGTTCGCCTGACGGTTTTCATAACACTACAGTCTATTGGGGGAAACGAGTATGGTAAAACCGGTCACTCAAAGATTTTTACTTTTTTGAGGCACTTCTTGATCATTTTGAAGCGCAATTTTTTTAGGGCTTCAATATTACATAATATCACAGACACTGATAACACGTAGGGCCGTGTATCTCAGATTTAACATTGTTAAACGATCCCTTTAAAAAGAATAAATTAAAAATTCGAATTGTAAATCTAGTGTTAAACTTTGCTTACAGCTGCATTGACATGATTGTGTAGAGTCTATGTAATATTGTGTGGTGTATATTTGTGTATAGGTCTAATAATACCTCCCTTACAGCAAGCATGCAGTGCTAGAGGTCAATACGCATTAGCATTGACTCTCTATGCTTTGCTGGAGTGATTCTGACCACCATACCTTCTGCAGGGCTGTCAACCCTCCCGCCACCACGCCTTCCTGCCGCTCTCCCACCAACGATGTAGGAATCCCCCGGTTTATGAAATAATCTCCCGCCAAACCGTAATGTATACCCCAAAAAAATGTGCTCTTACCCACCCCCCCCCCCCCCCCCTGGCTGGATTTGGCACTTAATATTTTCTCAACAAAAAAAATCTCCCTCCAAGCAGTTTCCCAAAGTCGACAGCCCTGCCTTCTGTTCTAATCAGATTCAGACCTGAGGTCTTGGGCTAGGCCGAGACATAGTACATTACGATCATGTATATCTTACCCTGTGAATGATCTTTTTTATGGCTTCTGAGGTGTGCGTTTCATCATTGGGTAAATTGACAATCTCCACACCAAGATACTTGACAAAGAAAGTGACACCCTCTACAACAGGCTCATGAGACTTCTCCCAGTCATCTTGGAACTCTGTGGGAACAACATGAACAGATTGGATGAAAATACATGGACGGAGACAGCTAAGCAAATTAAGGCAAGCCAGTACTACTACTACTAGGTCTAGGCAGTACAGCTACTAGGCCTAGTAGTAGCGTTTCATACTCCCCAAAATTTTAGGCGCTAGTGTAGTTCCGTATCCATTTTTTAGCAGTTTTCATATCTATTCTTAGCAAAGGAATTTTAGCCCAATTTTTTTACTAATTTCAATCATAGATCTAATCATATATTGCATTTTCCACCTGAATTTGGATCACATCCGACATCGGGAAGCCTCCGTTTAGGGCTTCGATGTCGACGTCGTCGCTCAGTACCGTCTCCGCGCTATAGCTTTGCAACTCAAAGTTATCAGTCTAAAATTATGCAAGCTTCTGGTATAGTTAATGGTATCGTGCGTGTGCATAATACCATAAAGCATACACGCAAAGTTTGCATAATTTTAGACTGATAGCTTCAGTTTGAGGTGCAGAGCTATAGCGCGGAGACGGTACTGAGCGACGACGTCGACATCGAAGCCCTAAACGGAGGCTTCCAGATGTCGGATGTGATCCAAATTCAGGTGGAAAATGCAATATATGATTATGATTAAAATTAGTAAAAAAATTGGGCTAAAATTCCTTTGCTAAGAATCGATATTAAACTGGTAAAAAAACTGGTAAAAAAATTGCTAAAAAAATGGATACGGAACTAGGCCTAGAGTCTACACTAGCGCCAAATTTGACTAGAAAGTCTAGAAATAGAATATCTCTCAATCTCATCTCAAATAGACTATATAACTTAGGCTAGACTATAGTCTAAGCCTACTGACCAACATACATGTAGACCTACATACGGTAATTATTATTATTAGGCCTAGATCTAGACTCTATACTAGGGTCTAGTCTAGAGGTCTAGGTCTAGATCTAGATCTAGATCTAACTTAGATCTAGACTAGATCTAGTCTAGATCTAATATCTTTCAAATGCAAGAAATAAATATTTTGTGCAATACAGAAAGGCAGGGCACCTTCCTCCTCTCATTATCTCACAACCAGCCCCTTATACTAGCCTATCATCAAATCCTCCAACATGGACGAGCTAGGGTGTAATGAAATTGTAAAGAAAATTCGTGAAAAGGGCCTACCCTTCCCATAACCCCTAGATCTAGATCTACTTGAAATGTGTTCGGAAGATCTAACCATGTCTCAGTCAGTCTTACAATGTACGTATGCGCCGCGCTGTCGACTGTCTGACTCACTAGCGCTCACTGACTCACGTATAGACTACACTGTGTCGGTGTCACAGAGCTGAGCTCGGTAAAATTTGATTTGTTCAACATTATAATCCAATAGTAGGGTCTAGATCTAATAGATATAAATCAACACCGGTAAAACTTACTTCTGTGTTTTCCTTTTTTAAAGCGATTTTTCATCATTTTCAAGGTGTGTTTTTCACAGTCAATGGACCTAGAAACACTTTTCGGTGAAATATTGTCCGGGAATCGAATTTCTGCTAGCTGCTTACCGGTATCATGGGTATGGTAGATCTACACGTTTGTTTACAACGTATACTACAGGCGCGTACCGAACCCTATACACGTACACACATAATACATGCACACACCGTACACACATCATATCAGTACAGTATATCAGTACGGTATTGCATGCAGAGTGTGTCGAAGGAATAATTGTAGTATTCTGACGTCGAAAAGAAGTCATTGATGGGGTTGCCCAAATATGGTACAAAGTAAAGTGGCGTGTGCAAAAACAGTCACACCATATTGCGGAAGTAGCCTAGGTTCCAGGTTTAAAAAAAACTGTTTCTCCAACTCAGCTGGGACCCTGAATGGTAGACACAGGGGCGGATCCACGTAGCGATTTTTCCGGCCCGGCCCCCCCAGCCCCCCAAAACGATAAAAAAAAAAAAAAAAGGATAATAACCCCCCCCCTTCGCTTATTTACCGGCTGACTGAGTCGGCGCAAAATATTTCCTGAAAAATTGGACCCCCAAAAAAGCGCCTCCTATACCCCCCCCCCCCCGCTCATTTACCGACGGCTGAGTCGCAACTAATATTTTCTCACGGATTGGTCCCCCCCCCCCCCCCCTCTTCCCGCCGGCTGGATCCGCCACTGGGCAGACAAGTTGTAGTCTGCAAGCAGAGTCTGCACTATAAGACTACAATAGGCCATGTACTTTATCTGCTCCTTACAACCAGTAGGTAACTGGGCTAGGCTTCTCTCAAGGCACAATGATTTTCTGATAAAGTGTCAAATTAGGGTTTGTGCTTGCAGACTAGACAAATTGCCCGAACAGGGATTGAAGGGTATTATGCAGACACAATTCGGGAAAAGAGCCTACCCTTTCCCCCCGCGTTTCTGAAATTTGTCAGAAAGTATTGTTTTCCCTGATGAAAAACGAATAAAGCAATCAAATCACGTGGAAAGGTATTGGTATTTATTTATTTCTGATTGTCAGACAGGGTGACTCATTCTCATTGATAATGGTGGTCTTTCATAGAAAAGAGTGCGTCAAAAAATGTCCCCGTTGATGAATAAATTGATTCTTGACAGTAAGCCTATGCATCAGCGCGATCGCTTTAAAGAATTCTAAAAGGTCTAAGATAGCTCTGATAGGGATATAAGACTTTAGAAATTTGCGAAATTGTGTATAAACCTCTCTCATAAGGAAGGAAACAAAATTTTATATCAGTGTAAATATTATAAAAATATAGAGGAAATTCTGGTGAAATGTGGAAGTTTTCATGTCCTAAAAAAAATTGAACATTTTCAAAAAATCATTGTCAGAAGTTATTGGAAAAAGTCTATTGCCAATACTTTCAACAACTTTTCATTTCAGCCAGATTGCAGAAATTCGTATTATGAATGTGTTTTAAACAAACAAAAGTTTAAACAAAATAATAATAACAACAAAATCATGAAAATAAACTCATAATAGCAACAAAAAAACAATATATACCAAAGTAGGCCTATTTGGTATCCTCGTAATTAAATGAATGGTTTGTTTTGTTATGTATGGCAACCATTGGTATTATAGCGGTCAAAATAAACGCAAACCAAAAGAAGAATTGAAAAAGGGAAGAAAGTGAAGAGAATGTGTGCGTCTCTAAGGAAGATTATTCGATCCCTTAATCCATAGTAAAGCCAACAAATGAAAAGTGTTTTAAAAGGGTTTAAAATGCGAGAATGAAATCTGATTGGTTAGTTGGTTGGTCAGTTTAACCTGACTCATGCTAAGAAACTATGCCGTTTTAGTGAGAAACCATGCAGGGGATTGACGGCTTTTAAAGCTCAGTCGCTTCGCCCCAGGCTTATTTTTCATCTTCAAAAATGGGATATACTAGTCCGTTTAGAGACGGTCTCTCTGCCTTGCTTGCAAGCACAGTATTAAGTTCTATCCGAGGAACTCAGAATTGTTAATTCGAATTGCTCTCCACCTCCCAAGTATGGTTTGTATAAAACATTTCCATACTAGGTTCAACATTCGAAAAAACTCCATTAGTGGACTAGCTAAATTCCTCGAATACTATATTTGTTTAACTTGCGAAAGAAAATGAAAAGAAATCAAATAGTGTTGTTTTTTCGTCCATAATGAACGAAAACAGAATTCAGGGAGCGAGGTGCTTACCCCCCCCCCCCCCCCCCCCCCCCCCCACTGGGAGTGAGGTGTAATAGTGGAAGTCGGAAAATTAAAATAATAATAAGAATAATAACGTTTTATTTACCCAGGGTAGCCACTTAAGTTATATGAAACTGCTCTCCCGGCGGGCCCTGCAAATTTAAATCAAATTAATCGAATATCGCCTCAGAGTTCGGGAAGCAAGCTGCCGGATATATCCCATCTGTATCTTTATATCGAAATAAAGTCTATAATACGGTGACTTTGAATTGTATAGGTTTTTTTCGCTCGCTTTACTCGCTTGCAAAATGTAAATGCTATTGAAAATTCGCCTACGTGAATGTGTAATTTGAAGAGTACCAGGGTGATGCAAATTGAATAATAATTTTATCTGTGATAAATTTCGGATTGGGATGACCCGAACCCATTCTTCAAAGGATTCTTCTTCTAATTCAGTCAGGTGGCAGAAAAGTGGACACTGTCTTATTGAAAGGGCTAATTAATACCGTTATTAGAAAAGAAATGGGGCACGTGTCAAAGCTAGTACAAAGGGCAATGAGATAGATAGATATATAGATAGATAGATAGATAGTTTATTGGTTTCCACAATCTCATATTACAAAGAGTGTATAAGCATATTTTATTGAAAATTATTATAATAATTAAAGGTCCTACATTGTAATACCGGTACACATTAATTATTCAAAAATTGTCGTTCAGTTGAACATAAGGGGACAATGGCGGAGCCTGTGGAAAAGCAAAGCTTGTTGTGGATAGGCTCCAACGCATGACATAATTATAGTTTTATGAAATACAAATACACGCTAAAACTTGCAAGGGAGATTACATGGATACATGAACCGACATCACAATTAACTACAAAAGACAAAGGAAAGGGAAGGGATTATATCTGCAGCTAATATTAAAAATTTAATTATTATGAGTAGAATATGTACAGTATATACCGTTATTTACTCAGCAACAAAAATATACAGCTTGGAGACTAAAATAGTCAGGAATCAGGATTCCAATATGTATTCAAGTAATGACATTTCAATTTTCTTTTGAATACAGTGGCGGATCCATAGGGGCACAGGGGACACGTGCCCCCCCCCCCCCCGGTAAAAAAAAAAGGGGGGGGGAAGGGGGAAGGGGCCGGGAAGAAAAAGGGAGAAAAGGCGGGGAAAGAAGAAGGAGGGAAAAGAAATAAAAGGGAAGAGAGAAAGAAGAATAAAAAAGGAGGAGAAAAAGGAAAGGGAACTAGAAAGGGAAAGAGAGAGGAGAGAAAAGGCGGCAAAGGAAAAAAGGGGGAAAGACGGTGGAGAGAAAAGAGGGAAAAAGAGAATAATGAGAAGGGAAAAGAAAGAAAGGGAGATGATATTATAAGAAGGTGTTTTTTTTTTACCGGGAAAGGGGCGGGGGGGGGGGGCAATTTTGCAGTGTGCGTATTATGGGATCCGAAGGGTGTCGATTTGTATCCGTGGTTGGGGGGATGATAGGTGCCATAATATTTTCGGCAATGGATCAAAGCAACCAAGAGGTAGAAGCGTGTGGCAGATTACACCCCCTCCCCAAGCGCGTAGCCAGGATTTCATTTTAGGGGGGCGGTAGTGAGCACGCAAAGCGTGGGAATCACTTACGAAGCGCGCTCTTTAGGGGGTTGGGTGTAGGGAGGGGGAGATTCCCCCTTCCCCCGCGAAGCGCGGAAGCTTTGACGTTTCATTAAATTATTAGAGAAAGAAGACGATTCGTTGGATCGTTCTCGACTCTCAATCCTTGTTTGAATCAAGTTCCCCTTCCTCCGCGCGTAGCGCGGAAGCTCTGACGTTTCATGAAATTATTAAAGAAAGAAGTCGATTTCATGTACCATTCTCGACTCTTAATCCTTAATGTTTGAATCAAGTTTCCCTTCCTCCGCGCGTAGCACGGAAGCTCTGACGTTTCATTAGAATATTAAAGAAAGAAGGTGATTCGATGTACCATTCTCGACTCTTAATCCTTGTCTGAATTCATCCCCCCCCCCCCCCCCCCAGTGGCGGATCCAGGGGGGGGGCCGAAACGGCCGCGGCCCCCCCTATTGGCAGCGCAAAAAAAAGAGGGGAAAAAAGAAAGAAGAGAAGAAAAAAGGAGAAGAGAAAAGAAAGGAGAAGAGAAAAGAAAGAAGAGAGAGAAAAAAGGAGAAAAGAATAAGAAGATACCCCCCCCCCCCCCCCACCTCACTCCCACTCCGGGGTCGGAGGGATCGAGTTTGTGTTCCCAAAATCTCCGATAAAGGGTTACTTTTCACGCAACAAAGTCCGGCCCGTAATACACAAAAATCCGGCCCGCACTGACTTTACACACCGAAGATAAAGGGGTGCTTTCAAAGAGAGGGAACATACATGTACATGCGCGTACCCTTAACAACACTGAGTGGGTGGGGGAGGGGGGGGGGGGAGAGAAAAGTCGGGTGAGAAAGGGGGAAAGACAAGGAAATGGCGCTAAGTGACAGTTACGACGAATAAGGGAAACACTGTAATCGGAAGATGTAGGGTCATTTCAGAAGGCTTGGGAAACGTTATTGAATAGAGGGGGCCGGGCCGGCCGCATAAAATTTCGAGCCACGGATTCAAAGTAAAACGTTAAAAACAGCCCCTGCTTTTGAAAAAAAATTGAAAAGGGCACAATATTTTGGATGTCTTTCAAATGAAAGTGAAAACCACGAATCATAACCTCGTAACTATATAGTTGTATATAGTAACCAGTCTCATTTTAATATTATACACAAAATTATTTATAAGATTTGGAAACCCATCATATATTTTTAAATTAACTTTATTTTAGGCTTTAGATAACGAGAGTCAGACTCGACTAGCACATGTGCTATTTTTGACTCTATTTTACCATCGATCACAAACTCATTGTAAATAGTCATTTATTGTTTTACTCTTGAA